GCTTTGTCGTTCAATTGTTGAATAGAATAAAATTATGTAGAATTGGATTGAATTTGATCAAAAATAGATGATTCAAGAAACAGTGGATTGCTTTGGTTGATTTTTTTTCAGATTTTGGTAATTTGGACCATGATACTGCTGGAATGATAGTTGATGTTCTTGATCTTGATCTCACTGGATCTTTTGAAGAATTCAAGGGATATTAGCCATGGATTTGGAGAGTGAATGTTCAGCTCTTGAATCTGTAGAAGATAATGAGGTTGTGGTAACTCAAGGAACTGTATCTCGTGTTGATGATGACTCTGTTAAGAATAATGGATCTTGCTCAAATGAGATTAACAAGTTGGATGGTAGTGGAAGTCATGATGCTAATAATATAGAGCTAGTTGGTAACCATGAAAAGGATGTTGACAGTGTGCAACCGTGGGATTCACCTTCATTGGCAATGAAATCCCCAGCTGGAGTTTCACCTCCAATGACGAAAGGGTATGGACTTAGGAAATGGAGGCGAAAGAAGAGGGATGTTGTTAAGGATGCTGGAACCAGCGTGGATAGTAGTAAAGTTTTGAAGCGGGGTTTGTCTGGTTCTGGAAATCCAACTAAACCAGTACATATGTCATCGGCAGAGGCCAGGCAGAATAGTGAGGGTTCTGTTGGATCTGTAACTGTGATGAAAAATGTGGGTAGTCTTGATGCCTTTGCAACACGTGGCTCTAGTTTAGATTCTAGGTTTGCGGTTGGATCTGCTTTTATGGCTGGTACAGATTCTGAGAACAGTGAGGACCGAAGTAGCAAGTCTTCTACAGCAGCCAGTGCTCCAAAGATGAGATATGAATCACCTGCTATATCGGGTTATGCAAGGGAGAAGAAATGGATGAAGAATTTGAGCACAAAGGGTGTGAGTAATTCTACTCAACGGGTTCAACAAGGAAAGAGTTGGGCTGAAAGCAGTAAGAAGCCTAGAGGAGAAAAGGTCAAAATCGAGAAAGAAAACTCTCATTCCAGCATGGAATCTGACTCGAGAAGCTCAAACTTTGTCTTTATGCAGGGTACCTTTTCTGTGACTAGTAACGGAAAGCAGAGTGGAAGGTCAATGCATTATGATGGGGAAAATAGTGATGACGCTCATGAACAAGGTGAAGAAGTTCAAACTGGTTTCACCAAGGAGAATGTCGGAGAAGCTGAAGATCTTTTGCAAGATGATTTAGCTGCAGACTTGTCTTGGGATGCTAAGGGAGAGAAAAGTGAGAACCGCCGTCTCTCAACAGATGAGGATCCCTTGGTTGAGTCTATCCTTACCCTTCAGTCTGTGCAGGAAGCCCTTGAAAAAGGTGGGTGTACCTTCTTTCTTTCACTTTTTTTTTTTTTTTTTTTTTTCATAAACTGTAGTTATAATGGGTATTTGCATGTGTATCTCCGGAATGTACTATTTTAGTTTTTTGCTTCTTTTCAATCATACGATGTCTCCTTATTATCTAATATCTTAGTTCATTCGGTTTTTATTTTGTCCGCGAAGATATAATTATGAATTTCATTGATCTGAAAATTAATATTACTTTCACCTTCTTGTTGAAAAGGAAAACATGGAAATCATCGTTTTTTGTTTGTAGAAATGTCAAATTCGAACTATAGTTTAAGTTTTCGCCCTTTTTGTATCTTCTCTCAAGATACGGAATTTTATCTTGCTTGATTTGGTAGAATAACCAAATGTATATCAATTGGTTTAGAGATATGGAATTTTATTTTGCTTGATTGTCAAGTTAACCATGTAAGGGAATCTATTTGGTTTAATATGTGGATTCGAGAACATGTGTCTATAATAACCACAAAAAGGAATTTCTCAATAAGCAATATATTATTTGATTTCACGTAGTCTCATTTGTTAATATTCTTGTTGTAAGGAGGATTTATAGAGGACCAAATCAACTTAAAAAGGAACCTTAGTAAATAAAATTTCAACATGGAGATTCTTTTTCACTTAAATTTACCGAATATGGCCAGTTAGCCGGGTATTAAATTTAAGTGACATGTGCTGATCTTGTAGTCGATTTGCTTAAGTTTAATTTCCTGAAACTAACTGGAGAATTTAAGGCTGAAGATCTAAGTTGTGGCTTGTTTTATGCTTAATTACTTGTGTCTGTTCTCTGCATAAATTTTTATATGAATGTCAACATGGATACGATTATTTATCAACTCAAATGGTGCTATGTACACTAATGCAGAGGTTCAGAAGTTTGGGGAGATTGGGAAGGATGCCACATCACTGCATAACAAATCATTTAAGGGTAGCAGCAAACCTGCGGATTCCACTTTTACAGATCCAGAAATCCATGGACCTAATTCTTCCGCTCAATTGGGTTCTGAAAATATTAGAGAAAGTGCTACAAGTTCGTTCGAAATGCAGGTATTAAGCTTAACACAGAAGGTTGAATATTTAGAAAGAAAACTGGAAGAGGCAAGGGCTATGCTGGAGGTGAAAGATGCGAGGGTTGCTGAACTAGAAACCACTGTAAACAGTAGCAAGCCACTAAAGGAAGAGTCAGGGAGCACTATTGATTTGCAGCCAGAAAAATGTAGAGAGATGGAGACTGAACTTGAAGGTCTCTTTCGGCAAAAAATTGAGGCCGAAATTGAGTATCTGGCACTAACAAGGACTATAGAGAAGGTGAAAATTGCTGCAGGTGATCCCATTACACTCTTTGAAGAGCAAGAAACTTTAGTCGAGGAGCAAACACAGATGCTAAACAAGCTTGGAGAAGCTGAAAGCAAGGCAGCAGTACTGAAGAAACAAGCGGAAAAGTTGGAAAAACATTGTGGAGATATTTTGGGGACTGATGCAGTTTTGAAGATGCAGAAGGGAATATTTAAGGTTACTTCTTGTTTTCTCATACAGTTTATATTGCTGGTCTTAGTATTTTGGCTGTTTCTCTCAGAGTTGTCACCCCATCCTGGGGTGGTTGTACCCACCTAAGCTTCGAGATGGGTCCTTTTTGTGTAATTGCAACATTTTAGGCCAAGATTTGAATATTAGATTTCATTGTTGTTATATAGAACCGTTTTGTTCCTTTTCATGAGGGCATTGCTGAGGGAAGGAGGTGCGGTAATTTTTACCATTTTTTTTTTAAATGTTCCCTCTGTAGTTAATTGATTTTAATTGTTTCTTTTAGTTTTCACTTAATGTACAAATATATATAGTCAGTGTTCTATGGTTATGCGGATTTAAAGATATAATAAGCATTGGTCTCCATTTGCAGGCTTCTGCATGTATATAAGCAGATGATAAGTGTATATATTACTGTGTTTTTGAAAGTTGAAATTAAGTGCCTGTACGTGCTCTTGAAAGTTGAAATTTGAAGCCTATGTATCATTTAGCTCTGTTTTCGATGGTGGAAACTCCATTCAGTCTATTATAGGGATCTTTGGAAAAGCAAATATGGGGTCACAAAGTTGCATCACTTTGGCCAAAAAGTCATCAACTAACAACTTCCCATTTATCTTAGATGACTGTTAACTGACTTTTATCTGCATATTCACTGTCCATAATTGAACCAAAAGCTTTGCAGTTCAAACGTATAAAAACAATTAATCAGAAACCTGTAAAGAAGAGCATGCTATAGCTTGTGCCTATGGCACTGGTTTAGCCATCAAAATGGTGACTAAAATTGGATCATAAACCATGTGCTGCTTAATAATGCCTGTTATATTTGGCATCAATTATGCACAAGCACTTCACACCACAGAAAGTGCACATGGCTGATATCTCAATTATTGATCCTTATTCTGGAAAAAGAAGGCCTTCGTGTTTCATAAACCCTTACTGATAATCAAAACAGAAACAAACTCTGCCTCTTTTCATGGTCATGGAGCACTCAATGAAAACAAAGTTTACTATGCCTGTATCACAAGGAAAATCACAACACGAGAGTATAATAATAAATAGAGATCTGTAGCATTGACTCTTAATATTGTATAATAACACAACAATATTAATGCATTTGGATTTTATCTAAACATTGAAATTAAGTATGTTAAGCGTGGTCAGATGAAAACAGTAGTAGAGCAATTGACCATAAAGAAAGCCATCGTGTTACGATATATCTTATACAAGTCTTTAAATGCAGCAAGTTAACACAGAAATTTAAAAGATGATCACAATAGTGTACTATTTTGGAGAGTTAAGAACATGGCGTGAGAAAGGTGTTAATGTGATTAAAGTCAATGATCTCGTATGCGAGATGTTGCTTTCATTTGGTCACGAGAATCTGTCAAGAAAACAGGTGAGTTAGCTCTTCCTTTTTTCTCATAAGCTAACACAAAAGGTATCGGCACCACATAGATACAAAACCATCTTCATTTTTGGTTTTAAAATGTGCTTTGAAGCATCCATGAGAAGCTTAATCTACACCAAAGTTAATAAGCATTAATTGAATAGATACCCTTTTGACCCTGCAAGTTTTTCCACAATGACTTGGTCTCAAATCAAGTGGGGTATTAAGAATATTGAATAACCTAGCTAACCACTAAACATTGACAAGAAACTACTTCTTGTAAACAATATTGTCTCCAATGTAATTGTTCTTCACAACATAAAATAATAAGAAACTTGGAAGATTATAATCCTACATCTTAATCAAATAAAGACCCTTTCAAGATGATTAAACCCTCCAAACGAGTGAAAGCTTCAATTGACTTACATACATGTTTCCCTCAAGGGACGTTTTTGTGCAACATCAATGAAATATTTAAGAAAAACAAAAAAAGTTGCTCTTAAAAGTGGATGAATGCTTGTTGACTTTTGATATCCTAGGCCACTCTCTTCTGTCTATGTTGTCACCTCCACTGCTTAGTGGTGTTACAATTGACCTCATATCCCAATAATTTAATCATATTTATAATATAGTATGACAAAGTTAAAAGTAAAGTTGCTCTTGAATAGTCAATCATAAAACCAAATGTAATTGGATTATCATGCTTTACATGAAGAAAATTTAACACTAAAAGACAAGGTCTCAGGGACCCCACTAGAGAAAGCATAACTAAGAAAGATTCAAAGCTAGACCAACCGATAAAACTATAAGAAACCAGTTTAAAGTCAATCAATCTACTGACCTAGAACCTTCACAGACTGATCAAAATTTCTCATTTTGTGTTGAGACCTAGCTAATTATGCAGCTTCTGTTTCACCGCCATAAATCTGAAAATACTCAGGTGGTGTATCGTTAAGATCGAAATCAAGAACTAGCCTATTGCGAGTTGTCTGAGTCACTTCACCGGCTGATGTTGTCACTTGACTCGAGCTCGAAAATGCTTCAGCTGGGCCAGTCCAGTGGCACCTTTTGTGTCCTCCAAGTGCCTGACCAGTTTGGAATATCTTGCTGCATATGTTGCATTGATGCTCAGTGTCACCACCACTTGTTTGCTGCTCATTCTCCACACCATTATTGTTACAATTCCCATCCTCAGTAGCTGAGACCGCATTGGACGTTGACGATTCTTTCGCAATGATATTGTTCTTGTTCTTGTTGTGGCTTGCTACGTGGCCTCCTAGAGCTTGATGTTTACCGAAAACCTTTTCACATATTGGGCAAGAATAGGTTTGAGGAGCCATTACTGTTATTGGCTCTTCATTCACGCAATCCATATCATCAAATTCAGTGAGTCTCCTCTTCTTCTTCTTCAACTGTTTTGTCTTCCTCGACAACTCCATCTCACTGTCCTCCTCATTATCGTTCTCAACCCAAGTCTCCTCCGAATTACACCTCTTATTCTTCTTCCCAAGCTCAGCTTCCAACACAGTCTTCAAAATTTCAGTCTTTTTATTAACTCCATCTTCCTTGATCTTCAACACGCCATAACCAGAACCAAGCTGCTTATTGGATCGATGTTCAGCTAGCAGCAAGAGATCATTGACAGCTTGTTGCATGGCTTCAGCATCATCATCATCATCATCATCATCATCCGAAACAGAAGTAGAGAGACGAGGTTCAGATGATAACCTGTGCCCTCTTTTGGCCCTTAATGTCCAGGTCTTCAAAGACTTCACCAAGTCCGTAGCGGATCCAGCAGCGCCGTCATAAGACTCATCATGATGATCAATATTCCGGTGGACATTCTCGTTATCACCATTATCATTAGCTGGCTGTGGAGGTTGAATCCCTCTCCATTCTCTCTCGGGATGCTTCCTCATGTGACCATACAAAGACTTCAAAGATATGAAAGACTGTCGACACACATAACAATTCAATCCTCCGCCACTCTCCTCTTGATGATCAACCCTCACAGGAGCCGCAACTTTCTTGGCAATCGTCAGCTTCGGTTGATTCTTTTTCTTAAGACAAGCTCGCTTGTGACCTCCCAAAGCCTTCCCGGAATTAAACTGCTTACCGCACTCGCTACAAGTTCTAAGAAAATCTTTAGGTAAAAGAGCAGAATCAAAACCGTAATCTATCTTATCTTCTTCCATATTCTCAGGCTTGACGATCTTGAGCATCAAAGATAGGTCATCTCCAGCAACAGCAACCTCCTCCTTGTTCGTAGCTGAAACTGGTTCATCTTTCAAACTCATCTCAACAACTTCTTGATGATCTTGGGTTTCTTGAGGTTGAGCCATGAGTGAGATCAGTGTGTTTTAAGTATATGCAACGACAGTGACGTGAACAAACAAAACAACCTAAGAACTAGCGAGAAACAAAGAGTTTTTTACTGACCCACTAAAGAGTCAGGTTTTTTTTTTATTATTATTTTATTTGTATATATATATTACTTGGCTCAGAAGAAATTAACTAGGAAGAAGAAAAGAAACCTAGCTCGATTTTCTTTGAAAAAAATAATGAAAAATAAAATTCTGAAAATCAAGAACTCAAACTAGGGAAGAATTTAAGAAGAAGAAGATGAAGAGAGTGAAGTAGTGAGTGAGTCACGTTCTAAGGCTCTTTGCCTCTCATTGCGGTTTCATTAATTAATATTCACAGAATATAATTTTTAATTAATTAAATTATATACTAAAATAAATGAATAAAAACCCTAATTGAAGTAGGGTTTTTATATCTCCTAATGCTTTTTGACTTCTTAGGAGTGGAGGTGTGATTAGGATTCCCGATAATCACTCAATTAGCAAAATTAATAATTGGATTTTTAATATGTTAATTACATTCCTAAAATAAATAAATAAAATTAATTTCTTAATATTCGATTAGGATTCTCTGTTTGGATAACAATATATGGTAACTTGTGGGAGTATGCATTTAAATTCTATTCATACTTATCTCAATTCTCTCATTGCTATCCTTAAAACTTTTCTAATTAATGATAATCTTTTTAATTAAATTAAATAACTTGAATTTCCAAATTTTTTAAATGTCTTCTTCACAATTTAATTAGTAGTAATAAGTCTTAATAATAGTAAATCATACCCATTTCACACTTGAAGTTGAAGGAAGCTAACTATGTGATTGATTGATATAATATTCCACACTCAATGCTAAAACCATAATATATTAATAAAGCTAAGAATATGTAACTTGTCAAAATAAAATTCCTTCATTTCTAGTGATTAATTAAAGAGAGGCCCTCATAAATGTATAGTGTGTGGTTAATTGGAATTTACAATGTATGTGAATCGTGGAGTCAGAAGTCTTTTAAGTATTGGATCATTCTTGTTGACTACAAGTATATGAATTAATAATATAATATGCATGAAATTTTGGCAACAACAAATTTCTAATAAATAGGGCACCACATTCCAAGTCTTCTTCAACTCACAATTTTGACCAACACCCTTATGAACCATTAACTACAAATGGGTACTCTAATTTGATGTAATACGAAAATGGGTTGGTGGGGTTTTTAACACCAATTAAATTGATGGCATGACCTTGAAATATTTTGTTGTATTCATATCGGAAATTGGCATCTTGCTACCACAATTTTAGGAATGTTCATTGCACAAAGTTATGGAAATTTTCACATATCACGGCTGCTTCTTGGAGATCCTCCCAATTTTCTTCTTTATGGCAAGATTTGGAGTGGGATCTGATTTGATATCATTTAAGAGTGATATTAGCCTAATTATTCTAAACATCATAACTCTTAACTATAATCTCTATTATTTCATATTATACTTATTACATCAATTCAAAATTTACAATTTAATGTTTATGATAATATATAAATATACATCTCTCCTATTCCAATTCCAATTCCAATGTATCATAAAATCTTCTAAAAATGTTATATGCTCTCTGGAAAAATCCTTACACTCAAGGTGGTTTAAGACTTAATTATCTCTCGGGGTGATCAAGGTTAATACAATGGAATTTTTTATAGGTCATTTTATCCAAGTCTCTCGTTAGAATTACAAAGCATCGAAGGATTCATGGCGCAATGGTAGCGTGTCTGACTCCGGATCAGAAGGTTGCATGTTAGATTCATGTCGTGCTCAGTCCCTTTCAACGGGGATCCCACATTTTGTTTTATCACTTTATCGTCTTTTTGTTTGATTACATCCCCACATCACCTAAAACATTAAGGAAAATGAAGCTCAAAAGCATTAAACACCCACATGTAGAACAGTTTTACAAAAGGTGAGAAACTAGATTAGTAACGAGCACAATGAAAGCCAAAGGTCACATGATATGTTACAGAGCTGTCCCCCATCTGACTCTCAAAACTACCTCAGTTTTTGCAAATGGGGCATATTGTTTTGTCAGGTCATCTTTTGTTAAGGAAATTAATAGAACAGATTAGGAATACAATTGCAATAACAGCGACACAACAACAACAACAATAAAAACTAGCCTAGGAGAAAATTCTACGCCTAACCGATGACAGCTTTCCTAATGACTAATTATTTAGACACACTATTGAACTGTTGAATCGTAAGACAACTTGTATTCCAACATCTCTGTCTTGTATCTCTCCTTATCCTTCTGTCCTTTCTCCTGATAAACCTGCATCAGCGTATGAGAATTCCGAATTATGGTCAAACCTTCATGTTATTCATTTAGTTTTATTCACGACAAATAATCAGCCGCATATGATTGAAACAAATGTCATCAACTCCTCTTGTTTGCAGCTATCTTGCGGTGAAAGATAGAAAGGTAGTAGTTTGTAAATTAAGAAATTTAAAGAAAATTACAAATAATTCCCTAGTTAACCGACAGTATCCCAATAGCTACAATCCGCTTGCTCTCCAGAAACTCTTTCAATGAAAAACAGTAATTTGTAAATTTATTATATATGAAGCTAAGTGTATGATTTTCATCACTAGTCATCGCCGAGTAGTTAGAAACATTGATGTTGCTAAAACTGTCCATGAAAAGCATACTAGTAAAAAAATAAACAGAGGCTATGTAGCAAAAAACATGTTACAAGATTGTACCTAAATTGTGCTCAAGATTCAAATCCACAACCAAAATCTGTAAATGCCAATGCAACCACATAGACAGCAAGAAAACCTTTGATGCAGTGTGAAATGTCCATGGAAAACTTTTTTTCTCAAAAATTGTTCACGCATAGCATGAATCAATGAATATCCATCTCTTATATAAAGTAATACTCAAGTAAAATCCATGTTGAAAACCACAAATCACCAAAGATAAATCAAAAACTAAGAATCAGTGTATATACCTGCTTTTCAGCCTCTGTAAGATTGCTCCAAAGGATCCCTATCTTCTTGCTGATGGCTTTCTCCTGCCCATGATAGTGAGGCTTTAGGCGGGCATAGTGCTCAGCAAAGAAGAAATTATAACCGCTACGATTTGACTTGGGTCGAGATGGATCTCGTAAAGCCAACCGAGATCTCTTCCGACGTCGGTGGGTTGGTACAACTGAAGTATTAGAACTCTGAGACACATGAAGCATATGAGGAATATGATATAAGACACCTTTAAGCTTGTCAGAACCAAAGTTCACAGTAACCAGATATCCATTATCAAACTTTCCATCAATAATTCCAGTAACTGAACAGCCAGGTTTCAACTCCGGACTCCCTGCATCCAAAATATACAACAAAGATCCTTATAGCTGTGATACATGCTGCATATATTCGACCAACAAAAAGGGGAAAAAGGAAAGAAAATTTTGTGAGCACCGGCAAATATAAGAAGGCGAAATTGTTAAAGATATTAAGAAATATTTTAAGTTAAACTGAGAAAACAAGTATCAGACACCATGTCCAACAAAACTTAACAGATTTATTTTTTCTTTCTTAACTGCAGCTTGAGAAACTTGCAGTAAAAAGGACCATGTACAAGACTTACTTTGAACTAAAGTTAAAGAAAGTAATTAAAGCACCAATTGCAGTCCATAGAGCCTAAGAAAAGCTCCATAGGCATGAAGAAAGATCCAAATATACAAAACCTAATAGATGAAACCACGGGGGTGTGCCTTGTATCTAGGACTCTGACTTTACGCACTGATGCACTATAAATTGTTCATCTAGCATGTCATAAGAAATAAAAAAATACATGCCTTGCCAAGTATGTTTACCAAGCAACAGAAAATTGTTAACCAAATCTCAGTAAGAGAAACAAAATAATATAAATAATAGTCTATGTTCCATCAAAAAGTTTAAACTATCTAAAATTTACGATAGGAAACCACATAACGCAGTCACATCTCATGCTATCATAAATATCAGCACATTAATACATTAGGTAGTCCCTTTATTTTAATACAGTGCAGATAGGAGTCATACTACCAAAGTGAATATGGCCCCAGTACTGTAATTATATCTATCTTTATAACATATGTAGAAACAACACATATGATTTTTGAATCACAGGCAGCAAAGAAATATATGAATAGAAAGTTAATGTAATTATACTGCAACACAGGATAAAAAATCATGCAAAAATAAGTATCAAACATACCCTGGCCTCCTAACTGGTTTGCAGCACCTTCCTCTTGGTGTGCTGATCCATTGTCAAGGCTCCCGTTTATGGCATCTGTCAAAAAGAACAGGAAAATATGTAATTTGAAATCTATGGGAAATAAAAATTATACATTCAAAAGTCATGTTTCCAAGTACCAGGAATTGATGATGAAGGGACTTGTTTGCGGAAGTAATAAGCCTGCTCATAGTGATAAAGTAATGACACATAATACTTCCGTAATACAAATGATGCACTGGTGATAGTTGTTGGGAAATCGAAGACCACAATTACTTCCTTCCATTTGCGATCTCTGATTACCTGAAACCATTCCAAGAGAACTGACAATCTAAGGAAAAGAAATTCTCTCATTAAGTTGCAAGGTAGAAATAGGAAGATAAACTACACAATATATTCCTGCAATCATCCAGGGTCCTAAGCAGATCAACTTGCACCCATTCTAAAATTATGGACTAGCTTGGAACCTAACCAAGACAAGTTGGAGTATGAGTTCACCAGTTTTGTGACACTAAGTTTTGTAACAGATACACAAGTTCTACAAAGCAAACAGCATCCTCCTCACTAATTATGAAATAGGTAATCACACATACCTTCTCAAGGCCACCACGAGATGTCACCTCAACAAAAAGGCGATGTAGATCTAGTTCCTTTCCTCCTACAGTAGGAACCCTGTGTAATAAAAAGAAAATCAAAAGAAAATAAATCATATTCAACCTTGCTTTTTGTAGTTTTTACTGAAAAAAAAAAAAAAAGCGCCTGCCATAAGAATTTATCTACTAGAGCAAAAGCAGATAATTGCCTTACATCAAGAGATAAAAAGGAAAATAAACAGGGCAAGGAACATATAGATAACCTCTAAAGTAAATGTATCCTTATTTTATGATTTTCCAGGCAAACTTGCAGACGGTACAGGTATGTTAATACACAGTATTAAATCATGACAAAAAAATAAATAAATAAATAAATAAAACCAGCACCTAACTTATTATACTACAATGTGTTTACAGGGGAGAAAAATCACATTATATCCAATCTACTAAAAAGAGAAATTCCTTGTCTTCTCAAGAATAAAAATTTAATTCTCTTACAAATGTCAATTAATTTTGCAAATACTGCTGACCTGCAAATGTCTCATTATTTAGTATCAAAACAATTAAGATCTGACTCAATAATCATTTCAATGTCCAGCAAAACACTACACTGCTAAGACAACTTTCTGAGAAAATCAAATCCCCACTTGTTGCATCTATTGTAAGTTTACAAATTGTCCGAGTTGTAATGACATGGCTACTAAAAATAGTGCTCTAAATCACAAAACTCAAAAGCTTTTAAAACACAAAATGAATATACTACCTTTTAGCCACCTATTTTTAGCGAAATACGAGTAAAAACAAGTATATTACACAGAAAAAAACGAAGAAATAAAAAACATAAAACAAAGAACGAAACAACCCAGATGAGTAAAGCACATCAAAGGAACCCAGAAACATTAAAGCTACTAACTTTAAAGAGAAAAGACCAGAAACAGAGAAAAAGTTACATACTTGAATTTGATACCAAAAGACTTGTGAAAGGCCTTGAGAGTAGCCCAAAAAAGATCAGAATTTTGAACAACATCCTCGAAGTTGGCCGTTGCAGAAGGGTAGTAAGTAGCAGAGTTGGTGTTACTGTTGGGAGTGAGTGAAGAGTTTTGGCCATTTATAATGTGGGTCGACATTTTTAGTGAGAGAGGTAAAGATAGAAACGATGGATGATGGGGGTTTAATATTTTTGCTCTACCCTATAATAAGGTTTTTAGAGAATAATAAAAACTTTAGGTTATAATAAATTGTTAGTATTAAAGAAGTAATTGGGCAAGTAAAGTTTGGTAATTTAAGCAAAGAATGAGTTAGAGAGCAATAGAGGAGATGAAGATGAGATTAGGTTATAAGAGAAGGGTAAAGGTAAAGCAAGATAGTGACTTTTTAATTTTTATTATTATTAATTCTTTTGTATTATATTATCAAGTCCAAGAAGTTTAATTAAGAAGCCATCGAACTCTATATTTTATTTGCTTCTTTTTGAAGTGAGTGTCTTGGGATAGTTGAGAACTACAATATGGAGGGTCAATATTTCTTCATCAAGTTTGCATCTTGAACTCTCAACCCTCAATTTTATTTATAGACTTAACATAATGGATTTTTAATGTTGAATGATGAGCTTATATCAAATTTAAGCAGTAGATTTTCAAATTTGAAGGTGCAAAACCTCCTTTCAAAATCCCAAGATCAAAACTTTCCAATCTCATTGCTGTCAAATGAGTCACCAGGCCAGGGAGAGATCATCTTGTTGTTGTTAATATATATTCTCTTGATGGGTTATTAATTAGTTTAAAGAATAAAGAAGCTGAAACAATGGAAACATTTTTGCAAAACAATTAACTAAAGCATTGAGAAAAATGAGTACATTAATGTGAAGACAGAGCACCACAACCAACTCAGTCACAACAANTTTTTTATAGACTTAACATAATGGATTTTTAATGTTGAATGATGAGCTTATATCAAATTTAAGCAGTAGATTTTCAAATTTGAAGGTGTAAAACCTCCTTTCAAAATCCCAAGATCAAAACTTTCCAATCTCATTGCTGTCAAATGAGTCACCAGGCCAGGGAGAGATCATCTTGTTGTTGTTAATATATATTCTCTTGATGGGTTATTAATTAGTTTAAAGAATAAAGAAGCTGAAACAATGGAAACATTTTTGCAAAACAATTAACTAAAGCATTGAGAAAAATGAGTACATAAATGTGAAGACAGAGCACCACAACCAACTCAGTCACAACAAAGTAATTTCCACTATACAAATAATAAAGAAGTTACACTTGATGAACAACTAAATCAGAAGAACTTGGGATCATAACCATTGCTAGAAGTAGCCAAGATGTAGTAAGCAACAATATGGCCAATGGAGCCCCAAGCAAGAACATCAACGATGTTGAAGCCAACAGGGTCATTAGATTTCAAAAGACTGACATATTCCTTGGCACGAGTATCTCCAGCTTCGAAGTGGGAGACTCCATTCTGCTCAGGCAAACCTTGCTTGGCCACGTTCTCTCTCTGGAAGTTGAAGAAGACGAACCTCCCCAAGAATAAGGAAAGGCCGGTGCTGAGGCTGATGACAAGAGAAGTGTTGAGCTCAGCTTTGATGGCGCCAAAGTTGGATTTTTTAGAAGAAGAAGTGGAGAGTTTGGGGAGGGAAGATTTGGGTTTGGTGGAGAGGGGTCTGAGGCCTTGGAAGGAGATGTTGCAGGGGGAAAGTTGGTGGGTTTGGGATGAAGAGAAAGAGGGAGTGAACAAAGTGGAAGAGGCTGCAGAAGCTGCCATGGTGAGGGTTAGTGGAAGAAGAATGGAAGAGCGTTGGAAAGTGATGAACTGAGAAGAGATGAGAAGAAGTTGGTGGTGTGGAAATAGATCATATAATCCACAAGTGATGGTTGCGAAAAGTGGAGAAGATTTCTGAGGATGGAAATCAGTAAAGAAAGATTTTGGAAAGTGAGTTGGCTTTGCTTTATTGGCTGCCTTGTGGATCAGAGATTTGGGGTAGAGGAACAAGGAGTCATATTTTCATAAATAATTAAAATAATAATGCACAGAAATATAAAAGGGATCCGTGGCGCAATGGTAGCGCGTCTGACTCCAGATCAGAAGGTTGCGTGTTCGATTCACGTCGGGTTCAATTCCCCTTGAACAAGGATCTTTCTTTTTTCTCACCTTTCTGTTTTTGATATTGATAACATATTTATTTCCCCTCAAATGTTATACGTACATGTATATTCGTAATTTGGGATGAACAATAAATCCTTTGTATTATTTTGGTCCATGTCCTAGCTTGTCTGAGAGCTAGACTTGCCCCAATGGTTTGTCTTGGTAATCAATGTCACTACTCTTATTCGTTCAACCGACCATGAACACAAGAAGAACAATTAATACATAGAAAAAGGTAGGAATGATTGATGAAATTAATTGTCCTGTTAACCAGGATGCCAAAGTTGTCTGCCTCTGTCAATTGTTTAAGATTCAAATGGAACAGTGCTTACTTGCTTTCTAGCCTTCTGTACATCCCCTCCACTTTATGATCATAATCAACTCAACTCCACCAGTAGTGGACTACAACAACTAAAACAACAACCCCTAAATTGCACATCATATTACATTTACAACTACATTTTATCTCCCTACTAAATATGCATGTGCATGATACTAAGTTTCTCAATTGAACCAAAGTACACACTGCACCAACACACCACTTATTTGCAATTTCCACAGCCATCTCAAATTAAGGAATCAAGGTATGAGTAGTTACGGCAACGACCGTATTCCAGAAGGCTACCATATGTTCGGTCCCAAACGCCAATAAACAGAGCCTCTGTGTCTGGACTGTATGATATCCCCGATATCTCACCAAAGAAGTCGATTTCCTGCTCCCTCTCATACCCACTTTTAACATCATACACATGCACAAAGTCAGCAGGCTCAGCTGTTGCCATATAACGACCATCGGATGAATAGCGAATGGACCGGATAGCTCCAAGGTTGCCCTTCAAAACAGCAACAGACTCAGATGGCTTCCGTAAATCCCAAACTCGGCAGGTTTTGTCTTGGTTTCCTGTAGCAAATGTGACGCCATCAGGGTGCCATGCTGATGCAAACGAGAAGTCCAAGTGCCCAGACAACTGATTGACGGTCTGTGAAAATTACAAATATAAATCAGTAAATGCTTTAATTTCTATTTACAGGATCCAGATATACATGCACCAGTAGACACCAAGTCATTTTTCTTTGTCAACTTCCAGAAAAATAAATGAAAAAAAGAAGGGAAAAAGATATATGGACAGCAGTATAAATAATTACCTTTCCAGTATTAGAATCCACCAACATACCCTCTGGGTTGTCTCCAACAATTATTAGAAGTTTACCATCAGGACTCAGTGAAGTATGCTGCAAAAGCACAAAATAAAAAAAAAAAAATTCAATTGAAAGCTTCAGCCTGCAAGTGCATCATATATTGCCCACAAAATGAAGCACAAAACCCTCCATGTCAACGAAGGCACCACATACTATACGGACAGATGGACTGTTCAATGTAACAAACTTACATTCACTGGCCAAGGAAAACGGAAATGCTTAGAGAGTTGATACTTTTCCATATCAAAATCTCTGACACCACAGTCATTATTTGAGGCAGTGAAATGGACTGCACCACTGGCAATGAAAAGCATAAGATAAATTAAACTCAGCTCTTTTTTTTTTTTTTTTTTTTTGTTGGCCCAGCGCGGCAGCCCGAGGAAGGCCGCCAAGGACAGTTCTGCCACAGCACAAGAAAGAGAAAACTACCTGGGACACATAAATATCAACGCTTGGTAAAGCATTATCATCATATGTTGTACGAACAAAACTCACTCCTGGTCGATCCAGATGCTGTTATGCACAAGAAAAAAAAGCATTAACCTTGGGAGAGTAACAACAAAACCACTTTATAATCCTTAACAGGCCAAGATGGGAGGAGCGTGACAGACATAATTAAGGCTAAACAGAAACATTAACTATGTTCGTGCATCAGACTTTTCATATTCATCATATCATCATGAATCCCTTAAATTCAGAAGCTCTTCAACCAAAGGCACTCCAAGGTGCAGGTATATATACACAATACGAATGAAAATCATAACCAAAAAAAGGGCTGCCACGATGTAGACAGTGGGCATGCAAATATCTCTTCATTGACTCACCTTGCAAATTAATTCTCCCTGAATCCACCAGCAACTAGCAACTTATCTTTTACAGCAAAAGTGCTCACTTGAGTCGGCGAAAATCCTTCCAACAGACTACCAGGGTGTTTCTACATTAAAGAAAAGTACATTAGTAAATTTCATCTAGTTTCAAATGAGAAAATTTTGGCAAAGCCAAGGACAGAGAAACGCAATGTGTTTTACAGATCAAATTTTAGTTAAAAGACACTAATCTGGTTGGTGCCACATGGCCAGAAACATTGAGAACCTGAGACCTGCTGCAAGTTAAAGAGACCAATAACGACTGAAAAATGTGACATAAGGTAGACATCGTGCTTTGATGTAGCCCAACCAAGTTCCGTACTAAAACACAGAACAAAGATGTCGCAAACACATGACAATTATTTTTCAACAAGGAAAAACGCCATCATATTATGTAAAACCATTTCAGAATCAAAATGCATGTCTCAACTCGTTGAATCCACAACTATCTATATTCAGGACCACATTTACAAGTAAACAAAAATTAACAGTATACTGTGAATTTATGCAACAAAAAGCTATGAAGCAAGGACTCTGATGAGAACTATTCTTTAGTTATGCTAACCACCAACAAAAAAAAAGGTAAATTTTAGCTCAGGTAATCACATGCAAATTTGCATTCAACTACCTGAAAATAAGAATCGTTGATTTCACAGATCTAGAATTTCTTCTGAACTCATAAAATGAAGCCCCTTTCTTTGTAATCTTGCAATCCTCTTACAGAGGAAAAAAAAAAAAAATTGAATCAAACTCAATAGAATGACAGGAAACTTCCAAAATGGGAAAAAAATTTTTTTTTTTTTTTTTTTTTTGTGGGGGGGGGGGGGGGGGGGGGGGGGGGGGGGTGGGTGGGTGTTGTGTTTTTTTTTTTTTTTTTTTTGTGGGTCAAGGAGAAAAAGTAGCAACTTGTACCTTCCCTGACCCTTCTCCAGACTGAGGGATGTTTTCATAGTTCTTGTACTGTTCTAGTCTAGTTTGCCGGTACTTTTCCCTAGTGATACTAAGCCTGTCCCAAGGTATACCCTGGATATCTTTACCTCTTCTTGCTTGAGCAGCAGAAGTATCAGCTATCTTATTATTCTGCAAAAATCACATAAAACTACTTAAACTCTAAAATGACAAAGCAAAACTTCAAATAAATTAAATTTTGAATTTACATTCCATTAAATAACAATCAGAAATATTAATTCAGTATTGTCTGTCTACATAATCGTGTAAAACATCAACATACTGAGTACTCATATTCCTCAAATTCAGAATCTGATCCACCCATTCCTCTGCCACGAAATTCTTCATCCACATCATCATCTATGTCTTCCATGTCATATTCGTCTGCCATATACTCAGCATCATCCCCTTGGTAATTAGACATATTTAGCCTGAGAAAAACAAACCTACACCAATAGGAATTTAGGCATCAGAGAATAAAATAACTGTTTAGTCCAACATGTAAAACAAAATAAACTCAAATTTTGTTATACTAGATTAAGCGTTGAAATGCTTTTACAAAGTGTGGAGCAAATTGACTGGCATTAGAATTTTGTTATCTCATGATTGGAGATTCAAATGTAATGCATTTACAAAAGTCTAAGTTTATGGTTACTTAATGATAAAGCACAAAAGAAAGTTTCTGATAGTGGAAACCAAGAGGGTACCAGGCAGGAATTTAACATAGTGATGTTGTGCACTAAACTACACTATGCAAGTCACCATGAACGAAAAATTGACATCAATTGAGCCTACAAATCATATGAGATGGTCTCCCAAGCTGCAAAGACCATAATGTGAGAGCTGAACCACATTCTATACCTTCTACAACTATTATACCTTCCACTTATTCCACAATTCCAAGTATGAACACCATGTTCATGCAAACAACAGCTGAAGTGAGGAAGCAACAATATCACTCAGATCAGTTCCGTTGGAGATATTTAAGGGACGACAACTTTGTTCTTGTTCACTTCAATTAATTCTTTGAGCAATAAAAACTTTTTCATTATATTCACGCAATATAACTTCAAAATCTGCTCTCATACAACGGCATCTAATTAAAAAAATCCAACTTTTACATGTACCCCATCCAATTTAACTCCAAATACAAAATCCAAAAGCCCCCAACTTTAGAAACCTTTGCTTCCTTAGTTTTTAGGCTTTTCTCTTTTTAATCAAATCCCACATCAAATTCTACCTATAATAGCTCAAAAAATTGCATTTCACATAAATTCGCAAAAAATAATAATAATAATAATAATAATAATAATCAGCATCATCACAACCAAACAATAATCAAAGAAAACGAAAACCCTAAAGCTTGAACCTGTATCATGTTAATCAAAAAATAAACCACAAAACAGCAACTAAAACATTAAAAATAAAACCCTAATGCAATCAAATCAAATCAATAAAAATTAAAATCACATAAAACAAAATTCCAGAAAATAAAATTCACCTCTTTTAAGAATTAGGGTTTACAGTGAGACAGCCTCGATCTGGAGATCAAACATCAGAACCGACGCATGATGTAGATTTATATGACCAAATTGTTTATGCAAAAATCGAAAGAATAAAATTGACGGTGGGTTGAAATGATCGCGAGAATTCGAGAAAACGATGAGAAAACGCGAGGAAAAGAGAAGGGTTCGTGTTTATCCACTGGTTCGAATGAGAGCTTATGAACAAGGAAATGTGATGAGAGGGACATGTCCTTTTTATATTCCAAAAATATTTCTTAATTTTATTTAATTTTTTAATTAAGTGATTTAATTATGATCAAAATTATGCTTGATTGTTTTAATTTTGGAGGTTTGTGAGAGTTCTAAATTAATCTATGTTCAAGATACTAATTTTTCTTGGGTTAAAGAAGCTTCTAAAGTTAAGTTATCTATAGCTTTTAGGGGACTTTGGTTCAAGAATGTTAGATTACTGGAATATTGGATTACTAGAAAGATAGATACCTTGGAAGATTACTGGGAATGTTTAAGAAAATATGTTTGGTTAGTTGGTGGGTATGTTATATTAATATGTTTGGTTATATGAATAAATTGGTGGGTATGTTATTTAAATTACTAAATGATCATCTTTTAATATAATATAATATAATTTTATTAATTTTTGAATAGTTTTTTAACCCCCAATATTCAGATTTAGCTAAAACACCCCCGCTTATAAAAAACTTTAATTCATGACGAAATCACCCCCACCTCCTGCCGCCACCTGCCGCCACCGCGAACAACGCCGAAAATGCCGAACCCGAAACGAAAAAAAAATAGGAAATTCTGTGGGAGGCTCCGAAGGCTTCGTTATGGCCGTTTCCGGCCATATTGATGGCCGAAAACGGCCATATCAGGCCATCTGGCCGTTAACGCCAGGTCCATGGCGTAACGCCAGGTCTGGTCCACCTGCGCGATAATGGCCAGGGATCTGGCCAGATCTGGCCCGATATGGAAAAAGGCCATATCGAAGCCTCCCGAGCCTCCCACCGAATTTCCAGTGTTTTTAGGGACTCCGGCAATTTTCCGGCGGTGGCCGTGGTGGTTGACCCGCTGTCAGCGGTGGTGGCTGGGTGGCTGTGGTGGTGGTGGCTTGGTGGCAGTGGTGGTCTGTAAATTATTTTAAATATAGGGCATATTGTCCAAAATTTTAATTAAACAAGGGTAAAATTGAAATAGGATTTAATGTAAATTTGTTTTAAATAGGGGTTATTCTAGGGGTATTATTGTCCAAAATTTTTATTAATAAGGGATAAAATTGTAACAAAAAAAGATAACCCTGGTAATCTCAGAAAACCTAAGAAAATGGAGGTAATCAGATTACCTCTTATATTACCAATAGTAACCACTATTGGTATTTGAAGATTACTGGTATCTTATATCACTTGACAACCAAACGTGGTAATCAAGTAATACAAGATGACATTACCCCAGTAATGCCACTTAACCCCGAACCAAACTGCCGCTTATGAATATGTTCTAATTAATGTAATAAGGTATGATAGTTTGGATGGAGATATGTTCTAATGTAATAAGTTATGATTGGTTCCATGGAGATACGTTCTAATATAACAAGTTATGATTGGTCGAATGTATAGACTTTACAACCACGTGTCGATAAAACAGATTATGATTGATCAAATAGATAGGTATTAACAAGTTATGTAATAATATTGCATTTTGTGATTCGTCGAATAGATAGATTGTACAAACACGTGTTAGATATAACAAATTATGAGTGGTTTGATGAATAGATATTACAGACACGTGTTAATATAAAAAGTTATGACCGGTTAGATAGATAAATTATACAAATGTGTTGATATAACAAGTTATGATTAATCAAATGGATATATTTTACAAACGTGTTGATATAACAAGTTATAATTAGTCAGATGGATAGATTTTACAAAAGTGTTGATATAATAAGTTATGATTGGTTAGACGGGGGTATATGATATAATAAATTATGATTAATTGGATGAATAGATTTTAACGTAAAAAGTTGTGATTGGTCAAATGAATATTATGATTGGTTAGATAGATAATATTTACAAATAGTGTTGATATAACATATTATGATTCGAAGATGAATCGATTTTACGAACATGTGTTGATAAACAAGCTATGATTAGTCGAATAGATAGATCTTACTAATAGTAACGTGGAGATAAAAAATTATGATTAGTTAGATGGATAGATTTTACAAAAACAAGTTGATATAATAAATTATGACGGGTCGAATGAATATATTTAAAAAATACGTGCTGAAAATAAGAAGTTATGATCAAACAAAGTTAGTATTCATGTGGTTGTGTTGCTTTCTTTTTAGGTTGATTCTTATTCTTTAATAGCAAAATGGACCATACCATTAAAGCTATACAATAAAGTCATTAAGCAACTTACCCTTTTAATCTTGCCATTGCTAATGCTCTATGCTATTGCAAATTTAGCACCCATTTTGTCACATGGATTCAAGTAACGACCAAGTTATCAAATCGATAACGTTATCAAATCGATTTTATAATCATTCAATTACAATTTCGAAAATTATGAAGGCATGGACCTCGCAATATTATAATTCAAAGAAGGGTAGTTGCAAATTATGTGTTACCATATTTATAGTTGATAGACACAAAAATTTAGCCACTTGTTCACTGAGATAAATCAATAAATATCACCCACCATATTGATAGATGTTATTTTATAATTAGGTGTATGCATTTAATTTATTCTTTGTGGCACATGCTAGTTTGATCTCACCAATTATTCATTTTTAAAAATAAAATATTTATCACCTATAAGTCAAACACGAATAGTTATGTAAAGTTTATAAAAGATATATTAAAATGTCAGTAAAAAATATTATAAGATATATTAAAGTAATTTAGATATTTTAAGAAAAGACAAAAAATGTGGAAGAGTTGTGATTTGACTTTATTACCCTTAATGAAATTATATTTGTATGAAATTTTATTTACATTTGGCTAATTATGTAAAATCCTTTGTTAGAGGGTATTTATGTCTAATAACTCGTTAAATGGCCATTTTTGTTAGATTTTTATTTAAAATATTTCCACGTGTAAAGAGTCATCTGAACAGAAAAAGTAACAGAACTCTTCTGCTCATACACTGAACTCAATACTGTAAGTGACCTTTTCATCACACGTGTAAGTAACACGTGGGAAAATTAATGATAACAGTATCACTTTTCTTTTTAAGAAAATAATAACGTGATTAATTTTAATTTAATATTAATTAACGTCAAGATTTTGCCACCTACACTAAATTTTTTTCTCCCCCTTGATCTATGGTTTAAAAATCTTTCACCCTCCTAGTTTAAAAAATTAGCAACATTCCCCCTTCTTATGTTAATTTTAAGTCTAAAACATGCGTCTTCAACATCTGCCACGTATCACATTCCAAACGGCCGCGCTCCCTTCCCTCCATAGTCTTCTTCCCTTTATAGTCTCGCCTAACTCTGTAACCAAAACCAATCAGTTGAACTGAGCTCCGTTCTCATGGCGATGTTATTGAGGAAAGTTTGGGGATCAGTCTCCACTCGGCCATCTTACACCGAGTCGTCTTCGTCTCTGTCTCCGTTTTCTTCGTCGTCATCGGCTTCGTGTTCTTTAGGTGTGTTTGATCAGATACCGAATGATATACTGATGCAAATCGTGAAATTGATAGGTCCAAAAGAGGCGGCCAAGCTGAGCGTGGTTTGTAAGTCATGGAGATTGCTCGTGTCTGATAATCGTCTCTGGATTCACCATTTTCAGAATCTTCCAGAGCCTTGGGAATCCGTTTTCTTCGCTGAAACCGTCCTCAGATCGGGATATCCTATCCAGTGAGTTTAGTTTTAGCTTCTATTTGGTTGCTCAGAAAATTGGAATGAAAAAAAATGAAATTATAATTCATTTTATGAATTAATTTCAGGATGCAAGAAATTTTATGAATAAAAACTGTTTTGCGAATACAATCCTAAAAGCTATTGTAAAAATATTTAAAACGAAATTAAAAAAATAGTTACTTTACAATTTCGAGTTGAATTGATGAAGTTACTAAGCTTCTATTTTTCTAGTTGTACGTTGTTGTGTGGGTGGCTGTTTTTATGAATGTTGTGTCGATTGCTGAGAATATTGAAGTAAAACAAAGTAGTTGGTGTTAAAGTTGGAGTTGAATTGGTAAAGTTACTGGCTTTTAGTTCGTGGTTTCTTGCTGAAATTGAATGATTGATTGCACTTTGTTATGGTGAAACATTGTCGTATACGGTGGTGAATTGGGTGTTTCTATTTATTTTAATTTGAATGCAGGACATTTTCGAGTCCTACGATGGAGTTGTCTTTTATGAATATTTACGGTCAACGGGCTCAAGTGCCTGGTGCTGTTATTCTTGATGGTGAGTTTGGTGGTATCTCTTAGATATCACTATGTTTCATTCATTGTTTTAGACCAGTTCTTTGTACTTGAAATTGGTATTTACTTTTCCATTTAATGTTTAGGCGGTTCAGGTTATTGCAAGTTTGGTTGGAGCAAATATGCTAGTCCATCTGGGCGGTCAGCAACATTTATGGTGAGCTGAATTAGAAGTTTTTCGGAACAATTTTTAACTTTGAAATTTCGTTCAGTTTGTCTCTGCAGTTATGCTTTTGGATTTGGGACTCTTTTACTTATTATGAACCAATATATTTTCAGGAATTTGGTAACATTGAGTCTCCAATGTACTCCAGACTTCGACATTTTTTTTCAACTATGTATAGCAGGTTCGTTCTTTGTGACTTTCTCTCTGTCTCTTACATTCACATGAGTCAGTTAAGTGTATATTATTGACATTTGCAGTATTGAATATATTAGTGCAAACTAGCTGCACAATTTTTTTATGATGGATTTGTGGACATATGTTTGTGAAGCTTATGTTGAAATTAGTTATGTAACATGATGGTAAAAATCTTCAGTTTACTATTCCCTTTGGTTTTTAATGAACTTTTGACATTGAGAATGATAACCATATCTCTTTACAGGATGCAGGTAAAACCATCTTTACAACCAATTGTTGTGTCCATCCCAATCTGCCATTATGATGGTTAGCTACTAAGGAACTTGCCTCTAAGATCTTATATTGACTGCTTCCTGCAATGTCTGTTGAATTTTGAATTTTGAATTTTGGTACTGAAGTTGGGGTCTTCTGGAACTAGGCCATTGTTGTGGAGACCATGAGTCTAGTTTCCTTTTGATATCAAACTTAACTCTACCACTTTATATTTTATATGCATTCAGTTATATTCTTTGTGAAGATAAAGGGGTAATTGGTCATAGTTCTAAAATTTCAATTTCAGGTGTCTTTTTTCCTTTTATTTGAAAAAACTCAAATGCTATTTTGGTCAGATCCCTATAACATTCGAATTAGAAGTTTTTTTGGTTAACTGTTGGAGTTCAACACCTGTTGGTAAAATTATTATCCATATGAATTGTTTTCTTTTGCTGATATTGCAGATACTGAAAATGCTAAAGCATCAAGACGACAGCTCAAGGATTGCATCCACCAAGTTCTTTTTGATATGAATGTTCCCGCTGTTTGTGCAATCAACCAGGTAAATTTTACCCCATTAATCTAGTCTAGTGTCTGGTAATCTTGCTAAGGAGGGGAAAAAAAAAGATGAAGAACTTAAAATTCTGTGTCATGAGGCTCTTTATAATTATTATGGCCTAATTGGAATTCTTATTTAATTACAGATAAATTTTCTCCTTTTCTGATACATTACACTTACAGCTCTAATATATCTAAATATCTAGGCAACTCTAGCATTGTATGCAGCAAGAAGAACTTCAGGAATTGTTGTTAATATTGGTTTCCAAGTCACTTCTATTGTTCCAAGTAAGCTATTCTTCTTCTTTATTTACTTTTGTAGCATGCTCGGTTTTTTTATTTATTAAGTTTTTACTCTATCCTTAATAGCCCCCCTTATTATTGTCTTTGTTTGCCTAACGTTCTTACGTTTTCTGCTGCTTTATCTTGTAGTTTTAAATGGTAAAGTAATGCGTAAGGTGGGTGTGGAATTCATTGGACTGGGAGCATTAAAACTTACTGGATACCTTAGGTTGCTGTTGCAGCAGAACAATATAAATTTTGAATCACTATACACTGTTCGCACACTGAAAGAGGTATTGCTATATTCATGTGTCTTACATTATCACATTATGGAATAACTTCTTTTTTTCCAAGTATGCTCATGCTATTTGGCATAATGGAATCGTAGAAACTATGTTATGTGGCTTCTGATTATGAAGCTGAGCTATCAAAAAATACGCAAGCATCATCGAAAGTTCCAGGAGAAGGATTCTTCACCCTTTCAAAAGAACGCTTTCAAACAGGGGAGATCTTGTTCCAGCCATGTATGGCAGGGGTGTAAGTCCTAATCTTTGAAGAATCTGTTACTTAGTGAACTGTGCGGAAGCACTCTCATATGATTCCCTTGGATGAGTTTTAAGAAACATATAGTTGTTTTAACCATAAACCTAATTTTCCTTGCTTTGCCTTTCTGCGGATTCAAGTTTTAGAATACCTTACGCCATTAAAATTAGTTCCGTTTGATAGATTGAGTAACTATATTGTGTTTCTTTGTCTCAGGCGTACAATGGGCTTGGATCATGCAGTAGCACTTTGCATGGACCATTGCCATGCGGCAGAATTGGCGGGTGATGATGCTTGGTTCAAGACTGTAGTTTTGGCTGGAGGGACTGCATGTTTACCAGGACTTGCAGGTATCAGAGAACAACACATGTGAATAACCTTTTTTGTTTAAATCAAAATCCTGAGAATCATTTGAACCAAGTTGCAACAATGATCTTTTTCTTAACCTTTTACCTCTAACAATGAACTGGGATGAAATTAAATATATTAGAGAGAGATGCATCTGAGTATCCTGTTCACCATGTTTTATTTTCGAACTGTATACAGAAAGGCTTGAAAAACAACTTCATGAGCTTCTTCCGCCATCCATCTCCAATGGAATAAGAGTCATTCCTCCTCCTTTCGGTGCAGAAACTGCCTGGTACGGGGCAAAACTAATAAGCAACGTAAGCAACTCCACCAATCAATATAATATATTTTAGCTATTTTGCGACCCTAATTCATTAAAATAAGCTTGGAACTCTTTAACATTATGCAGTTAAGCACCTTCCCAGGCCCCTGGTGTGTGACGAAGAAGCAGTTCCGTCGTAAGACTAGATTCAACATCATGTGGTGAGTTTAGGTCTCTGTACAGTCGAAAACCCTTCCAGGGTTGTATATTATATTGAAGCAGCCAAATACAATTGAGTCATATCATCTTTGTGAAGAAGATACATGAACACATTTTTCTTCAGACAAACTATTGAGAAACGATGTATTGGGTTCGTATTGGGCAACATTGTTTTTCTTTGGGTATCTTGTAAGTTGATTTAAGTGTCAGCAGTCAGCACGATATAATAAGAATTGGATTACTGTAATACTATATAAATAATAAATGGGTAGATTTTTATAGTCAGAAGAATAATACAACCTTGCAAATAAATATAATTTTATTCGACTTGAATGTAAAATTTTTGTTCAGTGAAGTTTTATTGTTTATATTGTAAGATTTATAAAGAAATATCATACTCATTCGTGGATAGTCTAGATGATTAGAACGAATTGGGAATGGTGTAGATAGGTGTATGATCTTATGTTAGATTTTTCATTTGCGCATCCACAATTTACGTGAGTGGCCGTAATGATGGGTTGTTGCGTTAAACTTCTTTGAGGAGCCCAAAGATTTAGTCAGATAATCATATAACTTAACCTAATTGTTTATTTATGAAAAGTCAGAATGTGCTAAATTTGATTATCTAGCATTATTTAGTATACTTTAATCAGACTATTAAACCATAAATGTTAGACTATTGAATTTAAAATAGTCTAATATTATATATCATAATATATTATTCCTTATTTCATTAGGATATAATGGCTAATTCATTAGATTATACGATTAAATTTGTCCTTTATGAGTAATATGTATAATTGGGTGGAATTTGTCTGTTCCATTTTAAAACCTAGTCACAATCAGATTCAAGTTTGCTGAATTGTTTAACCCGTTATCAGGGCCTTGATTATCTGTCAATGCCATTATTTGAGTTGGAAAGATGAAGATGTTAGCCCACCAATTTACAACTCATCACGCGTCAACAGTTGGTACACCTTTACATACACCAAATCAGAACTCGTAATGCTTCTGGCAAGTCAATGTTTCAATGAATAAAATTGGAGGTGCCCTTTTATGTTTCAATTAAAAATACATATGGGTTTACAACTGAAAAAACCAACACTCAATTCAACACCATTACATAAATTATATTTTCTGTATGCCTAACTCAAATGGTTTGTTTAACTTTGATCACCATTCCAAAGATAGAACGAAAAATATGGCCGAGAAGTTGTAGTACGTATGAACAATCAGCAATCACAAGAACTGACACTTAATGTGACTTTATAGTAACTGGAATATCAGCACTAGGAAGCTAATTGTCAACATTAGCAGTGTGGATGGATTACCTATGATGGCACCCGTGTTTGCGCTGTCTGACATCGATGGTGGAAGTGCCGGGCATGCGAGTCCTTCTTTACCTTCGCGACACTCGGCAGCAAAAAGGCCAGGAGGGTATTTTCCATACAGATTAATGTAGCTGAACATGGTTGAGGCGCAATCTGTTGTTAGGTCGTTAATTTCATCGGTGTAAGGGCAAGCAAATTCCTTAAATGCGTTACAACAGCTATTGGCTGCGAACTGTGGTCCTTTGCATTGGCTTGTGATGATGGTGTAATTCAGGAACTCAAAGTTCACAGGGCAAGCTGCAGATTGTGCAAGATAATATATCACTATAAGAAGTTTTAATTAAACTCGGCTGGCGACTGGACTGTACAATACCAACATTTCTCAAATGTTCTTTCATAATATAACACCACAAACAGCCTCAAGTAAACATACACTCTTTGCATCTAAAAATGAACCAAGCAATAGGAAATTTATAATATGCTGTACGCAAACACACAGTCGAACCATACTTTCCTCTAACAGTTCATTTGACTAAGATAAACCCTCGGTCTAAAGGAATCAAAAAGCAGGAAACAATCAAGACATGCAAGAGACGAGTAAACCCAGCACATTGCATTAATGGCTTAAATTTGGACTGATCTTATGCATACCTTTCACTGATTCTGTTTGAAAATTGATACACTCATATGGTGTTATTCTCACTCTCTTCATTCTTACTCCCTACATTCTTTGTAATAGTGTAAATGTCTAGTGTGTATATGAAGCAGCAGGACTGACCAACAACAAAATCAACATGGATAAATTTTGAAAATTCAGGTCCCCTGGTTTTTCTGAAAAATAGTTCTGCTATTAAAAGCAGAATTACAGCAGCATCTAGCGGGTCTCTTAAACTCACACTATTATCTATTGATTCATCCAATTATTTACCCTTTCTACAAGGATGTTCCGTAATCAGCAATCCCACAAGGATATACCACATGCTGCCAAAGATTTTATGTACTCAAATATACACAAAGGAATTCAATATATCCCACAAACAGCAACGTTCATCTCTAGATCGAATAGTCAACCTTGCAGTTCTGACAAATCTAACAAGAAGATTTAGTCTCTATGAGCTGCAGCCTAAGCTCATTTAGGACTCCACCAATTCAGGAAACAGCTATGCATACATTTGCAATATCCTCTACTTACCTAAAGTAGCGTCATTCACATTTGAGACACAGACATAATGCAATTATATTTATCAGTTTGTATGCAACACAAAAACAGAAACACCACTGAATGCCTAACACATCTTGACGGAACACAAGCAAGCCCCCAGAACATGGTATCAAACTAATAAAAGCAAAACTACAAACTAAGATGGCAAAGAATCCCCATATTGATGAATGATTTTTGGTTTTGTAGAAGTCAAATTAGTATCTCATTGCAGCTTTCATAGTAATTTTAACTGAAAATAGATTTAACCAACTAAAGCAACTTGATGTAAGAAATTAACCGAACAAGCTGCGCAAACTAGAGCTCATTTCTTTTTCTAACAAAATTTATCAGAAAAAACACCAAAAATAAAAATTAATTCACATGGGTATATCATAAAAATAGAAAATTTGAGATCTTAGATCCCATACCAATAAATCTGAGATAAACTCAAACTACTAAAGATGCAAAAATCAAACCTTTCTTAGCTTGAAGAAGGTTTCTGCCAGTAGCAGCATGAGATCCAAAGACATCATCTGTATAATTATCAAGAACATCAACAAATTCAATCACTACCACAAACCAAAAAGAAAAATGTAAACACAAAATGATAAACCTTTATTACCTGAAATGAAAGCTGAAGAAGACAAACCCACAAATAGAAACACTAAGAGAATTGAAGAGAAACTTCTACTCAACCCCAACTCCATCATTTCTCTCACCCAAGGAAAAGATCCACTCTTTCTTCAATGTTCTACCTGCTCTCTTCTAAAGAGTAAAGCTTTAACGCGGTTTCGCAGCACAAAAATAAAACTGACTCGGCCAAAGGGAGCCGTTCTGAGTTAATTATAATTTATTTATTGAAGACTCGTAAGTTTTAACATAACATAGCATATGTTTTGTAATAAAAACACAAGGGACCAATAAGTAAGAAACTGATATTGGAGGACAACCCATCAAACGCGAAAACTGGTATTTTCTTTGATTAAAAAAGTTAATGTCTTTATCACAGAAACTGTAGTTTGATGATGTTTGAGACGTTTTGACTGTTGTACTTACATTTGTCCACTAACAGTAACTCTACAAGTTATGTTACTACAAATGAGAAATATGACAGTTTACCGTTAAATGCCTTAGCCGCTGGTATTTTCATCTGATCATACTGGGGTTAGGGGTAACGTTGCCCCTAATAGATAACGTTACTTCGAGTAGCTAATACAGCACTTTAGTGTACTCAACTTAAAGGTTCTTAGTTAATAGTTACCGAAGGGTAAAAAGTTTACAGGAAAACTTAATAATTTTTGCTGGTATTAATGGTGGCCAGATGCCATGTAAAAGGCTGCTGGTTTTTTCCTTTAATGGGCTTGGCTTGTGCATGAGATTCTTTCTAAATATTGGCTGGTTGTTGGTTTTCCAGCTAGGACCTGCCTGTCAAGATTTTAAAGACGGGAACCATTGTTAGATTCATTTAAATGTCAATTATGTTTCAAATTTAGCTTAACAATAAATACATCATTCAAACAACTTTAGTTCGATATCCATCTAATCACCTACCAGGCACTGGCCGCGCTTGTGTTGGTAGTGACTGAGTTAAACTACCTGTATATTATCTTCATATTATATATCAAATGCGCTAATGTCAAACGCTTTATTGTTTATTGGTTTGGTGATCATGGAGACCGAGTCCTTTGGTTAAGCCAAGACTTGCAGGTCACGTTCTAGTGTTCTATATCAACTGTTTCTCATTATATCCACCCTTATCCTCCCAAGAAAGAACTAGCTGATTTGAATGTTCCATTACTAGTATCACTCTTCTCTGATTTGCAAGTTCAATCACCAATATCGCTCTTCTTTCCGCAAAATTTTGCAGGTATTTTGGTTGCTCCTCTTGTGCTAGAAAGAAAAGGATCAATCAAACTGCCCGCAAAATCTTGCAGAAAAGGAACAATCAAACTGCCTGCAAAATTTTGCTTACACTGAACGTATTCCCTCAACTTCATAGTCAATTTCATGAAGATAATCTTGGTAGTTCAAGCAACTGTTGTTTTAGGGGGTCAGCTAGTCAAATATTATAGACAGGATATAGCATTCGCTTTTACTCAGTCTGCAAGGTATGGCTGGTGGGTGTGCTTCATGGGAGGTGGAAGCATATATTTTCAGTTAAAAGAGATCTAGAGATTTCATTTACAATACACAAATCTCCAGTCTAGTAAAGTGGGTATATGCATTTGTATAGAAAAGTAATTTGATGTGCTCACTGTAAAACATTGCATTGATATTTTTTTATTTTCTTTTTTCTTCTTTTTTCTCTCTACACCGTTTTAAAGCTGAATATGGCATATAACCCATTTACAGCTTACTGTAACTTTTGTTAACTACTATCCATTAAGGAAAATAAAGGGATTGAAGGTCAATGGGGTTCAAAAAAGTGTTCGCCTGGCCTCTTCCAAATATGTGCTGCTGAGGCTGTTCCTTCTCTGCATCAACCTCCTGTATAAGTCCAATCTGCAGGTGCACCTTTGTTCCAAAGTCAACTCTCAAATATTCAACAGAATAGTCTTCTTTGCTGCAAGAAAGATACTCAATGGTGTCAAGCTTCACTCAAACAAACTATAATAAGTAAAATCATTCAGTTTTTATGAGATTTTTTTAAATAGGCTACCAAACACAGGGACACTCAAAGAAATTCCAAGTTTTGAATCCAATGAAAAAAAATTATTTAGAGGGAAATTCTCCGCCAAATATACAAGGGTTATATGAAAGCGACATACCCTAAATTTAGATTCCCGTAAATTGTCCAGAAATTCAGCAATCTCATGTTGTTTCACCACAGTAGCATGTAGTACCTGCCACAATAACATGATTGTTATTAGGATAACCACTATGAATCAGAATTTCGGTTTCCAGGCACCAAAATCAAGAAGACTCTGGCATACCCTTTTTGTTTTCTCAAGGTCAGATTCAACAGATTTGATCCTTTGCAGAGACTCCATAAGCATTTGCTCCTTCTCCAAAGGGATTGCAGGAGGCTTGTTGCTAAGTTCCTCAAAAACCTTCTCCAGTTTCTGAAGACGCTCTATACATGGAAGGACAGAGTCTTCTTCACTCACAGCTTCAACAGCTGGTGGATGGCTATCTGTGTTGTTTTCCACCATATTAGATGGATGGACGTTGTTCTGCCTTTTCCACAATAACTGCAGACTATGACAAAAAGCAACTAGTTTGACCATAAAGGATAGTAACATTTTTGTGACACACTGGATATTCCTTCTCTGAACTTTTTCCTTCACATTGTTGAATAAACGCATTATTGGAGTACCTGAATTTGTCATGAAATGAGATATAAGTTTCAATCATAGGGATAATATCGGCAGGATACGTAGAAACCATATAAGTAGAACATATATAAGCAAAACCAGAATCTCCTGAAGCAGAAATGATTTCAAAGGTAGAAAAGATCAATAAATACCTTCTGAATTTGATATTGTCTCGCAACAAATTTCACCCGCATCATTGTATTTAATCAATTGATCCTGAGAATGCCCCACTCGTCTGTCAGTTCTCACAGCTTTCTCAGCAGGAGTGGAATTATCATCACAACTGTAGTATGCATTAGGATCTTTCACCTGAATAAATCAGAGACTTTTATATCGGTCACATGTGCGCACAAAAGCCAACTCACCATACATGAAGATTTACATAAGCCTACAAATAAGAGTTACAATATGTATGAATCATAGGTTCTATTACTCACTTCTTCATGAACAGGAGCCAAACGAGAAATTGTAGAACTCCTTTGCCCACTTGCAGAACAAGCATCATCAATATCTGACCCTGATTCTGCCGTTGATGTGTCACTAGTTCTTCCCTGATTTTAAAAAAAAAAAAAAAAAAAAACAGAGTATATCAAAACCTAGTAACAAGATATATACTAATGTAACATCAACATATCAGTAATCATAAGACAAAGACGTACCTTCAGCGAGTGTGAACGCGTATAGGAATTAAATTTCTGTTGGTTACTAGAAACTCGGGTGATCTGCCTCACAAATCCCGGTCCAGCATTATGTACAATCTACAAATAGAGAGACCTAGGTTAATCTCTACTAACCAGTTCCATTTCCAAATTAAAGCTTAATAGAGAAAACATAAATAACAACTCTAATAAGAAGGATGCCTACTTTCATTATGTCAGGCTCATTCCAAGGACCCTTATTAGATCTAAGACACCCTCCTTCTGCAGAACAAGTGCATGAACCACCCAAGAAGTCTGGTAGTTGACTGAAAAAGACAAAAATCAATAATCGATAATCAATAATTGACTTCATTAGTTGTAAATTGAAAAGACAATTGACAGTATACAAACCTTGAGTCAATGACCTCAAGTAGTTTTCCCAGAGATTTGGGCTCCAGAACCTGAATATTAGAAATCAGAGGCAAAGTGAATTATGGCTGCAGGAAAAGTATAGATGCTAAATGATGAGTAATATGCTTCACCTGTATCTTAGCAAGAGTCTTTGCATCAAGAAATTTTTGCGCGGCAGGCCAAAGCATCTTTTTGAAGCCAGAACCAGCGTTGACAATGTACATGCGATGTAATGTCTGTAAATTCATGTGGTTAATAACTTGAAGCAAATGAAAGAGTAACAAGGAAAATATCAATAGGAAGATTTGAATACCTCGGGGTAGTAATTGTTGTCTATTTTTGTCATGGCAGACAAGAGATTTGCTGCAGTCCGAGTAAAATTCTTAATTCCCTGTATTGAATATAATTCTGATCACTGATAAATTCTATAAACCTGAAGTTGGAGCAAAAACAACCCTAACTGAACTTGACACCAATATACTAAAACAGATCAGATATTTATAATCACAACAACACTTTCCTGAGTCCCACAAGAGACACCATATTAATGGTAACTGATCAAAATCAATTTATTCCATAATGAGCTGGAAATGAGTCAACTTACCAAGCCTTGTACATCCAATATTGTAGTTGTTGTACAGATCCTTCTCTTTGCTGCAACTGAACAAGCAGGGAATTTTTCCAGTAAAGCTTTCTCAAATTCTTGGACATGGTACTTCAAATACCGATCAATGGTGGTGATACGCATAAGCCTACTTGGATGAGCTTTTCCAAGCAACTCAATGTAAACCGGCCGTCCTTCTCTATCAACTCCATGGTATCCTTGAGGGTAATATTGCAAGACTTCATCCAGCTCTTCAAACTCAAAATCCTACATATTGATTCGTTTACTGAGCATTAAACTTAGATGCAGGAAAGATATGACAATTAAGAGGCAAACATATATATTCCCTTACCTTCAATATGGTGTCTGTTCCATATTCTTTCCTCCACATAAGCATTTCTTCCCACATGAGGATTGTTTTTTCAATGTTAAAGTCCCTAGCTTTCAGAAATCTACAAGTTAAGAATAATACAGTCAATTAGTTTATAGTGAAAAACAGCCAACCTTCATCCGTGTCTTTCGAAAAGGGCTACAACTAACCTCAACAAAGTATGGTAGTCATCATGCCGAGGGGGCAAAAGATCCCTTTCAATGAGTTTTTGACGCAATTCAATGACAGTACTCTCCTCTCTTGCATCCCGTACATCCTCTATGGAAACAGAAGGAACCCTGTAATCGATTTTCCTTTTCCCCCTTTTCTTCAGAGAATGAGTGAACTTGTTTGAAGCATTTATCGCCTTCTTCTTGAGATTGCCAATTTTCGATCGTCGTCTCTCATCTTCTGAATTCTCAAAATCCGATCTTCTCTCTCTAATTTCATCATTGGTCCCAAGAACTTCTAGCCCTTCTATATTAAAGTTTTTCAATGAATCCAGCCATTAGACACACTAAGTTCATAAGCATATAACATTTGCAACATATAAACCACTAAACATACCTGACATTTCAGTTTAATGCAAGAGGGAGAGCGTTGGCTCTAATCTTCAGTTGCTGAAAACGAATCCACAGCTAACTCGCAGAGACGCATGCCAGGGCACACTGTCAAAAGAGAAGCAGCACTAAGCATCCAACGCAAGAACACGAATGCATCACAGCCATTTAATACCAAATACCAATCACCATAATCATATCTCTACACAACCAAAATCAAAAGGAACAATCCAGCACCTAATGTAATCACAAAACTATATATACTAAGCTCTTTTGGCTGCATCTGATAATAGCGCAAGGCAATAAAAGAAGTAAGCAACTTTCTTGTGATGCATCATGCATCACTCCCTCTGTGCTTTAAATACGTCAAAATTGCACTTTCCCGTGAAAGTCGAAGAAAATTTTCACTTCTCCAGACAACTCTCTAATCCACGGAGCAAATCTCTTTAAAGTAAAGTGAATATAAATCACAAATCTCTGTCAAAAAATCTAATTTAACCAGACCCCATTAAAAATAAATTAAACAACCAAAAATATGTTCTTTTTTTTTTCTTCTACTATATCAACTATGATTCATTCAATTCACCTTTTTCATGTGCACTTCATTGTTCCAAAAAAAAAAAAAAAAAAAAGGAAAAGATCACACCGATATTAAAACAGAATCTCCATCACGGCACCAAAATCAAAACCCTATAATTTAAAAAAAAAAAAAAAATAGAAATTTAAGAAAACACATGCAACAACTGAAGCTGAATAAATGCAATAACCATTAAATGCCTCAAAAAAATAGTTTAAAAAGCATTACAAACCCAAAGGCAGCTCTCTCATGTCACACTACAGTTACTCATTCAACCCTAAACCCACATTAAAAATCCACAATGCCGACTATTAACCGACGGATCCACATTCAATTCACACACAACACAACACAACAAAAAAAGGCGCAAACTTTATTACTATTAACCACAAAAACAGACCCAAAAAGACAAAACTCACCGTTTTAACCCAAACCCAGATTCCCAAAACTGGATCCCAATCTCAGAAGCTAATGAACGGTCTCTAAAGACAATAATAATCAAATTTTCTGGAGAAAACGACGAAAGTTTTAAGCTTTACAAGGTTTTTCTCTCTGTTTTTGCCGAGGTGAAACCTAATTTCAGCAAAAACATATATATATATATATATATATGGGTGTGTAAAAGAAAGGAAAATTAAGATCTGGGTTTTGTTAAGCTGCCTTTAAAATTTGTTTTTGCTTTGGTTGCTGTTTCTGCTGCTTTTCCCTTTCTCTCTCTGAAGGTTCCAGCGAGAGAGGCTCTCCCTTGGTCTGCTGCTTCGCTTTTCGTTGTCAAATTTTGCTTACGTGTCCTTCAATTTCTTTAATTTTTAATAAATAAATTAGTTAATATACAGTGTCCGTTACTGTAAAAGGATGTTACTGAGGTGACTTTTTAGGTGTTTAGTTTTAACCTTTCTAAGCTGTTTCAGAGAATCTCTGCCCTCCATTTATTATAGTTTCAGTACGAAATTCCCATTATTTATTGTGCTCATTAATTGCATTTTTAATTTTTTTAATTATTTATATTACCCTAAGACCCGTTTCACAGAAGCTAATCATGAGCTCAACATGATGATCAAGTTTTAATCTTTTACTCAACATGAACCGTCTAGAATGGTATAATTCCTTCTCATATACCTTTCCTTTGTTTTAATCCTTATAGTATTAATCACCATCATCATCATCATTATTGTTATTGTTATTGTCCATACAAGTTTTAGAAACCTCTATATATATATTACAAGTTAATTAATTAATCAAGAAATCCTTTTTTTATTTGATAAATTTAAAAATGAAAAGGATTTCGGAGATAAACAAACAAAAAATTTGAAATATATCGTTAAAAGTTGTATTTATCTTGTATTTGTTTCACATTACTAATTTAGTGGATTTGAGTATTGAGTTTTACCTAAATCTATTTAACATAGTATCAGTCCTTCTTATTTAGGACTATGACAGATGATATGATAAATTTAATTCTAACTAATTTAATAAATTATTATGATATATATACGTGATTAAATATTCTCCTCGTTTAAACTAGCTTCCTCGAGGAGCTAATACAAAGAGAACTTTGGCGTTGAAACTACAAAATTAAAGAGAATATTTGCTGTGAGGAAGGATGAATCTCAATTTATGAACAATCTTGATGAATAGACAACTCATAACCCTCCAAAATGATAGGACCTACCCAGAAGGACACGTGTCCACAAATTCCATGGCTGAGTACATTTCGAAATTAAGACCCTAATTAATGTTTGGGGTCTTATTTAATAATTAATAATCCTAGGACCAGCTCCTCCTCCATCTCAATGTAATAACATTCTTCTACTGTCCACACTCCACATTGTTAATAATCCTCTTCCTCTCTTTTCACCATCATCATCTTCTGCAAAACATTTACTCAACTCACCTCCTTACTTTACTTTCTGAATTCAATCCCCCATTCATTTAAGCTCTCTCATTAATGTCCATGGACCACTACTTCTAATTCATACTTACCTATTGTCTTTGTAATTGACTGGATATATATATCTGTATCCCAGCTCCCAGGGAAGACAAGGTAATCTTTAGCCTTCACTTCAAGGTCAATCAAGACATAGTAATGTTATCTCTACACTGTAATATACGTAGAACATATCTTCTAATGAGTTGTAGTTGGACTTAGGCATAATGGCTTGTTCTATATCTCCTTCATGATGTATTAGAATTATAACCTTGATTAGTAGGTAATTAGTGTTTACTTGATAAAGGTTTGACTTGGGGAAAGGATCGAAACAAAGATGTAGGTTCTGAAGAATCTGGAGGATGATGATGTTATTATGATAATCTTAAAATGTTTTCTAGAAAACCAAGTCACATCATGAAATTAAATCAAATTCAATACACATTACAGCATATATTCCAAACTTTTTTAGATTTAATTTCCGCCGTTCTTTTGCATTGGTGGGTATAATTGATTTACCAACACCCAATTGGTTCATTGAATTTTAATTAAGAATCACTAATATTTTCAAATGCTGATCAACATCCAGCCACCTGCCAAGCTTAGTTAATCAATCAAGACAACTTTGCTTAATTATCTTTTAGGGTTTAACGCAACCGTGTGTTAATGTCAATGTATTAGCGTAGCTTCAAGGTTAATTAGTTGACGAATATTGATATTGGAAAAAAGAAAGAAATAATGTGAAGAGCATGCAACTTTCGTCTTTCGGTAAGCTTGATTTTGATATTAATTTAATTTATTTAAGTGGGTCTAAAACTGCGCATGTCAGGATCTCTTTAAACATAAAAAACAGCGATAATGGTGTAAGCTCTAGCAGCTTTCCAACAAGAACAATTAAGAAACCTAATTTTAATTTGCTCTTTACTTTTCGATGGCATGCGCTCCATTATTGACGACTTTCTGGATGATGACTTTGCTGGTGGGTTTACTGTAGATTTATACATATGTTCAATCCAAAATCTTAGCTGCATAATTCTATTTCATTCATCTGCACGCATGGAATAGGATATCGAATATGTATGTATTGATTAATTATACGAATTCGTCTTATGTGGTACCCTAATGGTACCAAGACTCTCTTCACTTTGTCAAGGATTGATAAAACTTATATAATAATATATAGGGAATATGATTCCAATTCATTTGGGTAGAGAATATATAGCTGTGAAAACCATCACTGGGTGGTCAAATGATTGGACATGAACTTTTTAATATATTACTCAAGAAGTTATGAGTTCGAATCTCCTAAATTGCTAATAGGGTTGGTTATTGTAGGATATACCTGGTTGTTAACTTCAGGACCTTAGAAGGATTAGTTGAGGGGTCACTATAAGGTATATCATACTATTAATTTTAGGATCCTGAAAGATTAGTCGAGGGCTCAGAATGTGATATATATCTTGATGGTATAGAGGAGTCACATTCGTATCTAGGATAGATCTTGCTCATCCTCTATGAAAATATATTAAAATTCAACTGAAATATCTACACATGATACAACATAACATTTGATCCAATTCATAGCTAGATTTCTCAATTCGTTATGTAGTCAATTTCGAAAGGAAAAAGTGATCCCATGACCAAACCTTTTGGCTAGGTTAAGGATTAAAGACAGAAAGCAACCATTGAAATGATCGATCGATGTATTTTATGTCAAAAAAATTGAGATGGGAAGCTTCAAATTTCAACTCTCGAGGCACATTTTAGATGGCAGAGAGTGAAAGGATTAGTCGTTTAGAGATAAGTCACTCTCAACACCCACCAAACCCTAACCCTAACCCCACTACCCCTACCATTATATTACATACAATACAAGTCAAAGAACTATTTGCAGTTACTTGTCTCTTTCACTCCACCCACAAATCTGTCTCTCCCTTTTAACCCATCCATCGAATGTTATTACTTTTTTTTCCTTCTCAAAATCTTCTCTGTTTTATATAAATATATCTCTGCATGCATGCAGAAATGTAGCAGAGAGAGAGAGAGAGAGAGAGAGAGAGAGAAAGAGAGAGGCCAATAGAAGAAGATGTAGATTTGTCTTGAGGAGCGTCGAAGCTTGGCGGGGACAATATTCCAAGAAAGTGACAATTGCATGCATTCCTTTGTCACTCTTAAGATCTCATTTCAGATCATGATCTTTTGTTGAGTTACAGTTTTTCTCTTTCTGTAAATTATAAAATAATAATTCAGTTGGGTTGGGATTATTCATTGATTCAAATTATATGAGATTAAGCTCGTGACTCACTTGCCTTCTGACATTACGTTTTGGGTTTAACGCGAAAGATAAAGAGAGAAAAGAGCATTCAAGGACAGTAGCTCTAGCATGCATTTTTATATTATATCATATAATCTAATAATTAAATATAATTTATTTTGATTTGTTTTGATTTCTCTGGCTGTGTTTGGAGGGTCTTGGGGGTTCAATTAACAAGGATTTTTGTTCTCCCCAATGTTGCTTTTGCTTATTCTTCTTCTCTAGTGTACTATATAGTCAACGTTTGTTTGATTGTTTCTGTATATTCTTTCATTTTTATTTATTATTTTTTAATACTTTATTATGGAATATTTTGTAGGGTATTGCAATTTTAATTGTAATAACCCACTTGTAAGTTTTATTGAATTTTTGTACAAGGCATATATTATTATTATTATTATTTTTGGTAACTGGATATTCAGATTAGTTTACGCGTACTTCAACTAATCCTCAAGACCTTAAAGCTAACGATCGGATAAAGCTCTAGTGGTTACCTCTATTAACAATTAAGATGAATCGAATTCAAAACATTTTAGATAATATATCCCAAAATTTCCTATTCAACCACTTGGCTACCCAAGGGTGGTTAATATATTATACATATACTTTTAAATAATATATTGTCACTTAATTTCTCTTCTTTTAATATATGGGACATTTTATAATAAATACAAAGCCTTAAACTTATACTTTATCCAAAGAATATGATAAATTGTCATCACATTGAGACCAGAGAAAGATATATAATTTCTTGATATAGTTAGTAATAGTTGTTTGCTATTCAATAATTCTTGTCTAAGCGGTCATACTTTTCATATATAGTTTTTAGTTTTTTTAATCTAAGATTTCAATTCTTCTATGTTTCAGCAGTAGCATATTATTCCATGGAACTAAGGTCCAAAATTTCGGAAGAAACAAGTGTTTGCACGACTCTACCACCTAGTCAATTATGTTCCATCTAATCCCAATTTCATGACCACACCCACACACACACACACACTTTGCACTAAATTTTTACACCGAACGACGTGTCAACTGAATCAGACGAGCCACATATCATGTTAATAAATATTTCGCGAATAAATGACCGTATATCAAATATGGACGACGGTCCATTTTTTTTTTTTAAACAATGGATCGGCGTCCATTCTAGGTGAACGCCCGTCTATAGTAAATGGACTCTTGTCCATATTATATGAACGGAAGTTCATTATTATTTTCTCATAGACAAGCGTTCATTATAGGTGAATGGTTGTCTAATAATCATGGACGCCCATCCAATAATCACGAACCCCCATTATTTTGTTTTTAAAATTTTTTGGACAGTCATCCATCTTATATGAATGCTCGTCCATATAATATGAACCGGAGTCCATTAAATATAGGCAGACGTCCATAAATATTGGACGACCGTTCATTCACAAAAGACTCTAACGTGGTCGCGTCTGACTAGTTTCCATGTCTTTCAGTACAAAAATTCGATGTAAAATTTTGGTGTCCCTAGCATTACTCATATGTGTATACATTATTTGACCTTTTGAATAACAGTCAAGAAGACCTTATGAAAATGAAATATTTTTGCACAGAAGATGTGAAACAGTATTAGACATTCTAGAAAAGAAATAAAAAAAAGCATTTCACAATTGATTCACTGTATATAAGTGACATAAATTCCTTGAAAAAGAAATAAGAAATAAAATATCAAAGATATGCTCCTTTTCCTTTCAATAATGTCCCTTTCTCTTTTTCTCTCAACATTAAATAAATGTTTAATGTAGAAGAAGAGCAAGTCTTACATCTACCGACACTACATATTCAGCCGACAACCTTTTTTCTTTTTTTATTTTAGTTTTTGATTTGTTCTTATTGACAAGATGGCTAAATTAGGGTTAATGCATCTACTTTTTCATCACTTGAAGGAAAAGGTTTCATTTTTATTCCAACCCACTCAACTATTTAATTCACCACATGCATATATGCATGAAGCATGATCCTCTCTTTTCTCTGGTTTTGGTAACAAATTCTTATTTCTTCTTTAATTACTTATTTCTAAAGTTTCGATCACCCAAGAAATCAGTAAACCAACTTAGCAAGACACCCATGTCATAAACTCCTCTAAACTACATCTTTTACTTAAATATTTGTAATAAGTTATATCAGTTTTGTACATGTAACACTATTTTTAGGCTAAAGTTTATTTAAACCAAAACGTCGGATCGAATAACATAAATGCATATAATTAACAAACAACTTAGAAAACATAAGCAACAAGAATATATAAATTGAGATTAATAAAGATAGTGAAAGATGAGTGTGAGCAAACAATCAAGCAGCCAAGCACAAAAGGTTCACTCAAAATTGGATGCATTCAAGAATTACAAAGGGAGTTAATAGGGACATGTCCTATAAGTTCATTCTGTTTCTCACTATTCTCCCTCATTGGTTTGGTCTTATCTTCCTACACACCAAGGCATATGTGTTATAATGGATGAACAAATGAAGTGTATTCTGAATCAATGGAGCCCCCAATTCAAAACAGTTTTGGTAAATGTTGGAGAGTGATAACACTCAACAGTGAAAAGGATTTATTATTGGGAAACATGATAACATGCAACTGGTGGCCATCGCATCACATTGTCGCTAACTGATGGGTCCTTACCCCATTTTGTTAACCAAAATCTTTTGTTTTCACATGCTCTCTCTCTCTCTCTCCCCCCCTCTGTGAATCAATTAACCACTCTACTATTTGACTCTTCTGTTGTCCCTTTCTGCTTCATTTAATTTCATCTGTCAGCATATGGTTAACTGTCTTGACAAAATCCACCGGTTCTACTTTCCATGTGATTTTTTTTTCTTTTTACAGTTTGGGTTGTTGGAGATGAAATTCTTTGGTTCCTCACTTGTTTAAAATATAATGGTGAGAATGATGAAGACAGCAAGAAACAATGTGAATTACTGGACTTCAGGCTGAGGCCCCCACATCCACAGCCATTGCTAAGAGATACCATTTTAGATTTTTTGGCAAGTGACCTAATTGCTAGCTTTAGGGGACCTATACCAGCAATTTCTAGGCTATAGCTATACAAAGAGGGAGGAGATGGTGAGAAGTGAGAATGATATGCATGTGAAGGGAAAAGGCCTCAATGGCCTCACTGTTGAGACTCTTTGTCCAAGATCCAAACAAGGTCATATTCTTATCTACAGGTAAGGCTGCCACAAAAATTCCCTTCTGGTTAGCTCTGAAAAGTCCTAGTACTTATGAAAGTAAAGATTATGAGACTGTTTGGCTGTCAATAGTAAAAATGCAAAACTCTTTCCAGAAACAGGCTAGGTTGGTTCATAGTTCAATTTCAAATCAACTAACAATAATCTAGCAGATAAAGCCTTGATCAACCCAAGAGAGGCACAAGAATTACAGGTCTAACTCCTCTTTATACATTGTCCATTCAACTAGACCATCTGACTGCCATGAATTGGATTCTCTGTTTCCTGGTTAGCAATCTGAATCATATATATATTAGCCCTAAAATCACTTGACCATAACGTGTATTTAATTTGAAATTCTGATACTTCATGCAAACGATTTCACGCACCTCAAACGAGAAAACAGATGGTTTTTAAGCAAATTTTAATGCAAGTTTTAAAGGACCTGTCTAAAGTTTGAAAGTAACCCACATAAAACCTTCCATAACAAAGTATATGGCAAAAGCAAACAAGTTTATCTCTGGACAGACTTATTTTTCTATTATTTACTAATAGGACCGCACGACTATGACCTTCCTTGTCATTAAGGAATTCTCTTCTAACCCATCGCATATTTCTGAGTCCAGGATCGAGCAGTATCCTCATATTTGGCTCTGTCAGTCTTGTACATATGGGCAATCTCAGGCACAAGAGGATCATCTGGGTTTGGATCAGTAGCAGTGAGCAAATTGAAAGAAGAACCTGCAAAAAGAACAATCATAACATGTCAAAAAAGCAAAGCCAAACCAAGAATGGCTAAGCAAAAAGTTTGATGAAAAATTATATCCTGTCTTCTTCTATAATTCGACATATCTACGAAAGAAAGTTATAGTAGCGATGCATCCCTTTAATCAGTCTTGACTAAAAGATATAAGAAAGCATACAGTAAGAAAAGTACATTACCTTGGATATTGTCAAGGCTGGGCTCCACTGCCTTTGAGAATGTCAAGACAGATGCTACCATTGCTGTTGATGTTAGGGTGGAAAACCTTGGTACGGAAGGCAACCTGTAAAAATAATCGAAATTATCCACTTTAATATAGACAGGAACATTCCCACATTGCTTAACCACTTTGAAAGATAATTCAAAGAATAAAACAACTAAGTCGACCATATGTCACTGTCTCCTTCAGTTGGCCACATAACTTGCCAAGATTAGTCACATAATGAGTATAAGCCAATTCCTACATGAATAGGATATAGTGAAACAGAAGAACAGTATTTCTTAGATACCATGAGCAAACCATGATAACGATTCAAGTCAACAATGGGGACTAACAAAGAGTTTATTATGCAGAGTATAAGACAGATACAGTTCCCACTCACTCAACAAATAGCAAACAATTTGTTAATACTGCACTTGACTCAACCAAACAGATACAAAACCAGTAGAAACTACTACCAAGCTCACAATGAAAACAACTCCCAAATACACTGGAGAAGAACAGAAATACAGAGCCTCAATATTCTAAAATAATAAGAAGAAACATTTCAAATATGAAGTCATTAAAGCAAAGAGGAATGTGTTGAGGAATAAAATATATTTTGCAAAGGAAAAGAAAAATATATTACTTTGGGTGGCTTGAATGGATAATCTGGTGGGAAGTGAATGGATACAAGAAAGACACCCCTGAAAATGGCTATCTGATGGACCCGATTGTTCTTGCCAGTGGAACATGTCATCAGCCACTGGGCCTGTAAACATGCAGCATTTCCAAATTATATACCATAACCAAATATAATATATTTATGTCCAAAGATAAATGCTCACTGCATGCATTGTCGCATTAATGTTGCAAATGTTTTGATCAGCAAATAAATTGATTGAAGAGCAGCCAAAACAAAATCCAATAATCTAACTAAGGTTCCATTTACTAAGTTTCTATCTTTTGATTTCCTCCTGGAATTAAGGGAAGGAGGGGTGATGAAGGATTAGAAAACTCAAGTTGAGATGTGCACAATGATTAATGAATATAATTCTCCATTTAAATCTTCATAGTAAAAGAAAGTTCGATACAACTAAAAGCAATATATAAATACATTGATAGAAGAAAACACACCAGCGCTGCACGAGGCAGGAGGTCCTTCTGCAGGTCCTTCAACTCCTTGTTGATCCTTTTTGAAGCCATGAAACTTTCTCAAGGCACACACTGCAAAAGCATAAATATTTAAGAATGAAAATTTTCCAAAACAAAGGAATTTCCAATCCTTGAACCTATCTCTAAAATAATAATACCTATCCACACAAAGTTCGTATTACCCAATCAAACAACAAAGTTCTATTAACCCAATCGAACAACAAAGTTCATATTACATCGACAAAAGTTCATATTACCCAATCAACAACAAAGATCATAATATTTATGAATGAAAATATCCAAAACAAAGGAATTTCCAATCCTTGAGCCTAACTCTAAAATCAAATAATACCCATCAACAACAAAGGTCATATTAACCCACCAAACAACAAGTTCATAATATTTACAAATGAAAATTTTCCCAAACAAGGAATTTCCAATCCTTGAACCTAACTCTAAAATCAAATAATACCCATCTAACAAGTCATATTAACCCAATCAACAACAACACATGAATTCCACAGAATCAGAGACCAGATATATTAAATTTTCTTGTAATATTGTTCGTCTCATAGCAATTATTTCTTCTATTACTAGCCAAACAGTCACAAACATTCTAATTCAAGTCTGACACACGGTGAACCCACAAATAATCAATTGATTTATCAAATATCATAAATAAATAAACAAATACAAACACTAAATAATACAACTTGCAGAAATAACAAATCAAAAATACAGAAACCCTGTCGTGCTTAGGGTTCAACATCAAAAAACGATCAGAAACCCTAACCCTAACCCATAAAAACAATTTTATTGTACGGAAAAATTGACCCCACAACTAATTTAATAGTCTAGAAATCAAAATCCCAGAAGACAATAAAGCAGTATTAAATTAAAATCTTAACTTGAAACCCATACCTTACTTAGGGTCAAAGGATCGAATCGAAGAATCCAAATCGAAAGAAATGTATGAATTTATGGTAAGTGGAAACTGAGAAATGTCGAAGAAATAGGGTAAATATATTGAGTAGCTGTGGCTGGCACCCACGCCACTGACTTGCCAAATTCCAATTCGTCTTCTAGTTACTTCATACTTAGTAGATGGGATTCCATGGGCCCAGATTTAGGCCCAAATCATTATTGGGTTGGGTTATGTTCTGTCTAGCCCGGCCCTACAACCCTCAAATATTTTATTATTTTTTCTTTTGTTCTACTCGCTTGAAATTGTTGTGTGAAGTTATTATATTCGACCATAAATATAAAGTGATTAGTTGGATGGTTGTATATTGACAAATCATAACTTATTAGTGGATATGAATATTGCAAGTATGATCAAGTGGAGGTCTTTTTCTTTAGACAAAACAAGCCCACCACTAGAGGATAGATGAATGGGATAGATTTGTCATTTAGGTCATGACTATCAATTGTCAATTTCACAAAAAAAACAATACAATCGAGCATTTGAGCCTAGACCAAACCCTTTTTTTGTTTTTTTGTAACCAAGATTTTCGGGTTAACTCTTGTGCACTTTGACTGTTTTTGAAGTTAGCGCAACATCTCGTTATAACATTCACTTGAATCACCCTGCTACCCCTCTATTTAATTCGATACTCACAGGAAATCAAATTTGAAACTGTATGTCTATCTATACTATCCCCAATTTGTACTAACTATCTAGACTATCCACGAATAGATGCGTAAACCAAACCGTTAATGCCAAAATATCAAATACCCCATCAATTACTAGCTTGAATTTATCAAATAAAAACATATTACTTTAAAATAAGTTGAAGAATCCACATCTACTACAATTTTCTTAGATAACCCCTGTTCTCTCATATATCAATACAAGATTAAAAAACTCTTAAAATATCTTAGATAATCCTTTACTACTTATTCTGGACAGATGTTTATTATCTGAATCATTTGCCTGGAATCTGGTGGAAGAGTTTTAGTATTGTGGTAGTAAGGTCTAATGCAAACCATTTAAAATATAGTTTCGAGTAGTATTATCATATGATTAGTGATGATTGTTGTATTATATTTAAAAATTCGGTAAATTCGTTGATATTTTGGGAAAATATGAAAGTCAGCGGAATGGATGGTTAGTGGACAACCATAAGCGCGGATCGGTGGGACTTGACAATACGTGGTGGGTTCACCACAAAACTTGGTTTCAGAACTCAAACTCAGCAACAACGAAACCATTTTATCTAACTTTAGCATTCACCTCTTCCCTTCTCTCTCTCTCTCTCTCTCTCTCTCTCTCTCTCTCTTGTTTGTTTTGTCTCCTTGACAAGTAACTATTCACCTCTTCATTATTCTCTTTCTGGGTTTTTCCATTTCCTTTTTGGTGGGGTGCTTTTTTTTTGTGTTCTTAATAATTTTTGCTGGTTCTTGATGATTTTGTTGAGTTTCAGGAGCAGCGGAACCTGGAAAGTTTTGTTGTTGGTGAGAGTTGCATTTTCAATTTCTTTTTAATTGTTCTTGGGTTAATTTTTGTATGGTTTTGTGTTGATATGGAACAAGATTTGTCTGCACAGTTTATTTCTGGATTTGTTTTCAAAAAATCATAAAATTTTATCAAATTTCTGTCCTTTTATCGATATATTGGAGCTTTGAAGGTAACCCAGTGACAATTTATTGTAGATCTTGTGTATGTATATCTTATCATAATCTAAGGTGCATATAAACATATATGCTGGATTTTTTTTTACTGATGCATAAAGAATCATTCGTGGTTTCCATGTTCACGTAATCTGATTATATTAAAAGTAAGGAATAATTTAGATTGAAAGGTTGTTACTGAGCTTGATTTGTATTTATGTTTTTATTTTTCATTAGAAGATGTTGGTAAATGCAGTAGATGGTTATTATATGATTGAATTTGAATGTAAAACTGGTTACAGTGTCTAAACATTTTCGTCTTATCGTGGCCAGGCTTATAGGTAGCTCAAACATTGCTTCCCATTTTGTCATTATCAATTGGTTTGGGAGGTATTTTGGAAAGCCTGAGTCTTCTAGCATGCTTGGATACCAAAACAAAGCTTGAGGCCAAAATGGTTGAAGCTATGCAGCGAAGGGCAACTGAAGGAACGCCATGAAATCGTTCACAGCATAATTTTGAAATTCCCAAAAATTGATGAGGGCTTAAGAAAGCAGATATTTTTGAGCAATTTGGTAGGTTTCGTAGTATTTTTTATATTGTTTTTTTCAATTGTTTGTTGAAAGATTTATGCATATTTTATCAAGCAGGCTGTACACTATAGCTGGCATTTCCCTATCAAAAATTTCCAGCATTCAAGTTTTGAGTTTTTAAACCTGTTAGAAATAAATTTTTCTGTTCAAACCATTCTAAACTTGATATATTTGGGTTAGCAAGTTTAAAATATTTTAGTTCTACACTGCTTTAAGTGCTCATATCTTTTTGATATACACAGACACGTAATACGATTGTCTTCTAACTTCTAAGAGGTATTCTTTTTTCTATTTCTTGTAGATGAGGACTCAAATGGTGCGATTGATCAGGAAGAGCTTAAGAAGTGTTTTCTTAAGCTTGAAATAAAATTTACAGAGGAGGAAATCAATGATCTCTTTCAGGCCTGTGATATTAATGAGGACATGGGAATGAAGTTCAATGAGTTCATTGTACTTCTCTGCCTTGTGTATCTTCTAAAGGATGATCCAACTGCTCTTCATGCTGTTCCAATCACACTACTTAAAATTCAGCATATTTCATTTTTAAGCCGGCAATTTTTCTTTTTTAAACATTGTCCTCAGTTGTATTTTGTAGAAGTGCAACGACCGTCTTTTCCTTGGAGAAACTAGTTTGATTGATTACACTAGTGCCATATACAATATGCTCTTATGTAGAGACTCTCCTTATTTTTGTGTTTCTTAACATTGCGAGAATCACGGATGGGTATGCCGAAGTTGGAGCCCTTCGAAACCTTGGTTGATGCATTTGTATTCTTGGACAAGAACAAGGATGGTTATGTCAGCAGAAATGAGATGGCTCAAGCCTAAATGAATCAGGGGAACGCTCTTCGGAACGAATAGTCATGAAAAGATTTGGTCAGTTTTTTTTCCCTTTCTTACAGCATTCAAAAAAATTTATACCTCCATGTTTCAAAAATTATATTTCTCCTATATAACAATTGCCCTGCTTTCAATCTGGATGTGGATTTCTCGGTGCAGGAAGATCTCATGCTCTTCTATGTGCATGCATTTGAACAGATTTACTCAAATTATGCTTTGATGAGTTTTTTGTTGGTCATATTAGATATTTCTAATGGCTAATGTTCTTCCCCTTTACTATTGTAGAGGAGATGGACTGGTAAATGAGATGGTGAACTTCAAGGAATTTCTATTTGCATTCACTAATTGGGTTGGAATACGATGACGAAGAGGTGAAGAGAAGGTTTAACCAATCCATGTTAGTTCCCAGTTGTTGCTGTCTACAATTGCTGGTAGCTAAGGCTTTTCAGAGAGGTGGAAGTTCCAGCATGATTCCTGTTTACTCTTTCTGGTAAATGGTAAAGGGCGAGGCCATACAGGATGTATGAGAATAAATGTAATTTATTTGTAATGTAGATAGTCCTCACGTACACCACTGAAATGCATCTTCTAATAATTCTAAGAGGCTTCTGTGATGTCTCCTTTTCTCTTTTCTTCTTTTTGTAATAGAGAATGTCAATTTTGGTAAAAAGTTTACGACAGGCAATATTTTCATTTTCTAATCCTTATTATTGTTTATTTTTTGAGGTTTATAGAACTTAACTGGGAAATGATCTGCATTGTTCATGGCTTAAAGTCGGGCAAAATCTCATTTAGTCAGCACCTCAGGGGTGGTATTCCTGTTACCATCTCCTCAGATCACCAGCCGAATCAATAGATCAACCTATATTGCTAAAGATTTGATGCAAGATTGAAACTCAGAAGCAGTATGAGATATGTGAATGAAAAAAGCTAATTCATTGTAATAGAAGATAGCAAAAATTGTTATTATAAGCATTTGGGTAAACCATCGTTCATACCTCCGTCTCTTGACAGTTTGGGTACAAACCACAATTCAAATCCCTCACACCAATCCCATCATCGTATCATTAGAAAATATGATATGGAACTG